ATCATAGATTCGAATAATAGCAATTTTTAAAAATTTAAAATTGATAATCTTTGTACTCACTTTTACCCGTCAGTTCTGTGTCCAATGTTAAAACTCAAAATTCCTGCGAAATATTGAAGTTTAAACGTCAAGTCCTCGTTTTAACTCAAGTGTTGGTAAAAAATTACCTACAGAGCCCGCCCTTTGCACGACAGTCATCTTGAAAACAATGCAAGCGGCGAAGTTGTGGTGAATGCACGTATAGTTCCAGTCAAAATTTCAGTACTGTGGAGAGTAGTTATTTTCTTACGTATATATATTTCGTTGTAATTTATATAAGGCTATAAGTGATTTGTTAGCATCCACTAATAAAAAATATCAGTAAAATACTTAATTCCGAATTATAATATCAAATTTGTATCCCATTCATCAGAACCGTGTCGTCAGTTTTATGTTCGATGTTTCGGTTATCGTTTTTTTGCAAACTTTAATTTAAATTCTGCTTGTGCAGAACTTGTTTATTTAATGTCATTATAACCTCATATAAATTTGGTGTGGGTCCCATATCTAATAATTGAGATATCGGTATACCCAAAATCCACCAGCCGCCCCTGATGTGTGGTATAATTTGATTTTAAGATATTTAATGTATAATATGCTCAAAGTTGCAATAAATCTTATATTTTCCAATAAATTATGTATTTAATTAGTATACCCTGATATACTCGTCATTTCCCTTGCAATCAAATTTAGAAAACATATATTTCAGAAACTGTTTGAAAAAGTGACTGGCCCGGTCTGGAACAGTATATTTATTATATTATCTATGTTCTCATAACTAAATAATGTTTATAATTTTCTCCGAAAACTATATAAACAAAATGAAGTCAAAAGTTGACCAACTTTTGTAGAATCACTCTTATTTTTACCTATATATATATAATTTACCTCACCCATAGCATTGTTAAACTTTTTATGTAATTAAATATCTTAACAATTATTTTGCATAATTTTTATTCAAATTGTTAATTTTTTCTCAATCTCACGAAATCGCTTTAACTGCTTATTTGCTGGGCACGATCTCTGATATTCAGTTTCAGACTTAAGAAATAACTGTGGTAATCTCTAATTATTGCCTTTCGAAACCTCAGTACGTTGTTTTGCCTTCTGGAACTCCCAACATGATGATGACTTCATTTTCCCTTTGCAATTTCAAAATGAATTCGAAAAAACTACAGGTTCGTTGCTTTCGCTTGTTGGTATCTCCAGGAAATACCCAATTATCCAATTAGTTGTATCCAACCATTAACATTTTTTAATGTTACTTTGAACTAAAAAATAACCCTGTAAATTTACCAACCGGTTGCTATAACCTTAAGGTTATTTTTTAGTATAATTTAACGTATAAAAGGAACCTATTGGTAATATTACTAACTACACCGAAAAAACAATTTGTTTGAGAGAAACGAAATTGATTTTAGGTAAACTAATCCTGTGGTTGTATATTGCGCAACTAATATAGACTTAAGGCAAGTAATTACTTAGTTTGGTAAAGTTGGTTTCGAACAAACTTATATTAATTTGACGTAAATGCATACATTTCTTTACAAATAGCAAATTATGTTCTTGCAACTAAATATTTATTTCTAATAAATTTTTCATTTGTTTGTATTAAACATGCACCTATTTGGGATAAACGCATGTGCTTTATTGCAACACAACAATAATTTCGTCACAAAAAAGCAACTTGTTATCACGACAGAATTAATTTGCCCAAAACGAAAATTTCATTGTCAGGAATAAGCCCTTTATTTGCAATAAAATTATTTAAATGCAGGAGAGGCTGGTTATTAAAAATCTAAATAAATTCAATAAAACAATTTTATTTTATAATATTTATAACAAAATACAGAGTATAATATAGAGTATAATAATATTATGAATATTTATGTATATATACATATAAAAATATTTTTAACCAAAAAAATAAAACAAGAATACAAAACAAAATCTTAACTAGCTAAACAAAAAATATTCAAAAAGTTATCTCATACTTCAGTAATCATGTACCAACCTATACATAAAATATAAAAAGGTAACAAAAGTAAATAAATTAGTCCTGATTAAAAAGAATAATAGTTTTATGTCCTTGTGTAATTGAATGAAATTTACTTAAATATCATTTTATTATAAATGGGATAATTAATTACACGATTAGTTATAGTTAATAAAAATTGTGGCAATATTTTTCGATGGTTACACAAGATATTTTGTCCTTCTTGCCAATTTTTATATAGATACAGGGGGCCTTCCTACTTTTCTTAAAATTATATGGACAAGTGACATTTAAATAAATAAGTACTCACCATTAATAGTTCACTCAACACACACTGCATTTTTATCTGCGTAAAATTATGTACTGCATGTATTTCATATACTTGTTTACTGGTTCGTAACAAAGAAGTTCTTTGGTTCACAATGGCTGCCTTGCGTTTGCTAGCATCCCTACCAAAAAATATTTTAAACAAATAAATATTTGGTAAAAACTAATTTCTTTGTGTCAAAATGATATATTTTAATAATCTTATATTTAATATGATAAGTTGTTTACAACTTAATTTCATTTAAATTAATGGCAAAGTAACAACTAATTGACCAATATTGTCACAGAAAAATGTTCTTATTTCTAACCAATATGCGTAAGTTGTGGCAAATACATAATATAGAAACTAAGACCCATGTTTGTAATGACCAAACTATTTTATCGGTGTATATAGTTAAATATTTGAAATATCCTATAGTTTGTAATATAGAATTATGTATCTATTACACTGAAAGAAATGTTTCTATAAACCAGTATTGTCAAGACGAGTTTCATAAAGACAATAATGTTATAATTTTGATTTTATTCCAGCTGTTTAATACTGGCTATAATCTAGATGCATATTTTTTATGAAATGTTTCCTCTATAAGACATATTTTATTAAAGTAACTAATTTGCTAATAAAGAGAATAAACAGAGTTTGTAAAAAGTATTGGCCACTACATAAAATTAATAAGAATTTTCAAATACACATAGCAATCTGAAGTTATACCTACTTGCTAAAAAACATTTAATACTCGATATAAAGCGGGTTTATAGTATTTAGGATTTTGATTATATCCACTACAACATCATTTTATGGTGGCAGCATATCAATTTTATAAGAGATAATAGTATGTCTAATAACTGTTACAAGATGTTTTAACAAAACCGAGTTCATACTGTCTATGAATAAGTTGGCTGTCCTAATAGGTACTAATAGAGAAATCTTATAAGGAGTATTAGATTTTTCCCTCGGTATACCTTTTTATTATTATTTACCTTTTTACGACTCAAAGGTAGCACACTTTTAGTATTTTATTCACCCATACACCTGCAAGTAATATAATGCGTTTTCTTTGTTTATGCGTTTGAAAGGGGAATTCTTCTCCTTCTAGGTACCATGGAAGAATAGATAATGGACCTCCATCCATCATGCGGGACAGCCCGTCATTGGACCTGTCTAAGGAGGTGATTACGGAAAAAAGTGTCAATGCAGTATTGTTGTTATTTGCATGATCGATCTTTTCATGGTTTTGTTCTCATTATTTGTGTGAAATGTGATATATTACCAGTACTAAGTACTAATTTTACGGTCTATGATGTTTTAAAGGTGTAAAACCTATCCTCCGTGACTGTTACTCTTTATAGGTTAACCTATACGTTTTTAAATATCTGAGGTAGTAAAAGCATACTAAAAATATCAGTTCACTTTATATATATACCTATAATAATATTATGTTAAAACTGTACAGAGGAAAGCAAGACCAAGACCAAAGGTGCAGAGAGTATACCTATATTTAAATCTGGTGGGAGAATAAAAAATAGGAAACACTCCACGTCTCGCTGCGTGCAGCACTTACGTGGCCAGATAATGTCTTATTTATAAGCGAGTCGTGCCAACTAAATGCCAACAGGGGCGCACCAAGAAACACACAAAAAGGGATAACTTTTTTTTATTATTATTTTTTTTTAATGAAAAATATTGTATCCGGTTTGGTTTATAATCTTCAAATAACCCCCAAAAAAATCTAGTGGTGTTATATCATAGCTTCTTGGAGGCCATTTTGCGAAATAATAATAAAGGCTCGATATCTTCTAAACTATACATTTTATTGCATTAATGCATAAGACCTTTTTTGTTGGAAATTGAATTTTCTATAAAAGTTGTTCTTACTTTTTATCTGTAACTTTAACCGTTTTGCCGTAAAACACATACATAGAACTAATTAATTTTTCAATATTTGACAGTACAATTTGTTAATTGCTCTATATATTTTAAACGATGCATTTTATTGCATTAATGCATAAGACATTTTTTGTTGGAAATTGAATTTTCTATAAAAGTTGTTTTTACTTTTTACCTGTACCTTTAACCGTTTTGCCGTAAAACAACATAGAACTAATTAGTTTATCAAAATTTGACAGTAAAATTTATTAAATGATTTATATCTTTTAAACGATGCATTTTATTGCATTAATGCATAAGACCTTTTTTGTTGGAAATTAAATTTTCTATAAAAGTTGTTGTTACTTTTTACCTGTAACTTTAACCATTTTGCCGTAAAACACATAGAACCAATTAATTTTTCAATATTTGACAGTACAATTTGTTAATTGCTCTATATATTTTAAACGATGCATTTTATTGCATTAATGCATAAGACCTTTTTTGTTGGAAATTAAATTTTCTATAAAAATCTTTTTACATTTACATGTAAATTTCAATGTTGGCTATCTACGCCACTGGTTGTTCCAACATAAATTCCTTTAACAACTTTCAAGATTACTTGTTAACGCATATACAGCTTATTTTCTGAAAAAAAAAAATATCCAAAGTGTGTAATTTATTTTTCAGTTTAATTTATCCGCTTAAATCGGTTGAATAAAATTACCATGGTAATTTTAAATAAAATAAAATAAAATTGGTTTTCTAATGGTTTTATTTGTTTTGATTCCCAGTTTATAATAATACTAAAATAATTGTTTGTTATTTACATAGATAATTTTTTTAAGTTATATTGATAAATAAATTATTTACATAATAAACTTGTATGTATGTAATTATTTGATATGAAACTCGTAAATATCCTAATATCAACCTTATTTACAAAACCCTAAAAACATTTAAAATCAAACACGCTTTATATTATTGTCCGAAAAAAACATATTCTTCTATTCTTTACTTTAGGTTGGTATACTTTTGCTGAAAGCTATCTAACACTTTGAAGCTAAGTTAATTTAATTGTAAACGCTAGATTTTAGTGGGATAAGTAATGCTGGGTAAGTTGTTTTTATTTTTTCGGCGGTACCAACTCAAACTTCCAAATTCTGTTGGGCTGAATTTCGGCCACGTAAAGTGCAGAACCGTTGGGGCATACAGCCAGTGCGTGGGGGTTACCAAAACCCTAAAAATAATTCAATTAAATTTGTGAAATCGTGCGTAAAGTTTTGCCAATAAGTTTTGACGTAAGAACCCATTAACAGTATGCTTTTTATTTCGAATATTTTTTATTACTTACCGCCTCTGGGGCCCAGTGATCAATCACAGTTTCGCTTTGGGGATCTATTGTAAATCCTTGAACAGGCAAGGCCTTACTTGTAGGCCCGTTTACAGCATAAATTAAATTTCCTAGAATAATAAACGCCATTACTTATGTATCATCATGGTAGGCAACCAAGTATGCATTAAGATGTAATATTTATTGCATATATTGCCACGTCTGAGATTTACGAGGCGTTAAAATCCGAAATGTATTCCACTTTGTGACGTCACACACTGTAAATCGGTATTATTTTTCGAGCGATAGGATTATTACAATAAGCTCGGTAGCTCGATGGAAGGGCGCCTGCTTTGCATGCGAGAGATACGGGGTTCGATACTTGGCTCCTCTACAACTTTTTTTAATTTTTTTTTAAAGAATTTATATAGGTACCGAAATAATACAATGTGGCCTTAAAAGCATTTATATTTAATTTTACATTAATATTTTAATTTATTTACCTTTCCTCATAATCATTTTGCTAGTTATATAATATATTTTTACTCAATGGGGCGGGGTCGGTTGGGTTGTGTTGTTGGGTTTGGGTTGGTTTCGAAGCGGGCGGACTCGGGACGTTGGTTAAGGAAAAAAGATCTGCTTACCGTCCTAAGATTGCGTCATTGGATAACGGGAGCGCAATAGAGAACCGTCTGACGGGACTCTAGATTACAATTCGCTGCGGTGAGATGGAATACATTTCGGATTTTAACGCCTCGTTGAGATTTCCTCTCAGAAATAGTGATTTTTTATGTATTTTGGGGATTTGGGGGAAACATTTGCAAAACAATATGTTTCTGGGGATTTTTTGAAAAATAATCTTATGTAAATCTACTAGAATCTAAGGTAGTGCAAATGTAATTATAAATTTGACGTTTCTGGCAATTTTCAGCTGGTTTTAAGTTAGTTGACAGTTGTCAAATGTCATACAATTGTTTTATTATCTCAAAACAAAAATTCAAAAGCATTAATGCTTTTTGTTGCTATCTAAAATGTTGAAAAATTCTAGGTTGTAGTAGAGTCTACTTAAAAGATATTTACGAAGTTTTAGAAAGATTGGCCATCAGGTTTGCGAGTAAAAAATTATTAAAGTTGGCGGTTTTTTTCAAGTCTTTTTTTAATTGTCTGCAAATTTCATCTTAACGTCATTTCTCCCATGGCCTCCGTGGCGCAATTGGCTAGCGCGTTCGGCTGTTAACCGAAAGGTTGGTGGTTCGAGCCCACCCGGGGGCGAAATTTTTTTTTTTTTTTTAATTTTTTTTTTTTTGAGATATGATATTTCAATTTTTTTTTTTTAATTTTCTGAGGTGTTTTGACGTTTTAGAGTATAGTTCGAGTTCTAATTGATAGATTTTACCAAACAAGCACTTAAATCAAAGGCAATTGAGCCCTCTACAACTTTCTCTTGTATAGTTTTGGTATCGGCTCAGTAGTTCGATACTGGCGATTTTATAAGTTGAAAAAGTCATTTTTTTTTACAAAAATCAAGGTCGAAAATTTACATATCTTTCTGGGAAGATAGAAATCGAAAAGATAAGTCCAGTTTGATTTATTTTACGTATAGATTATACTTAAAGGAAAAAAAATAAGCTGCTGTTGATAAAAATCCATGGATAAATGGCGAAGTTATGAATTTTTCAGTGGAAGAGCAAAATTCAGTTTTTTGAGAATTTTTACGTTTTTTCTTCATTTTATTGAATTATGTAAAATTTAATATTGAACATTGATTTTTATTTTAAACATTAAATATTGAAATTAAATTATATATTGAATATTAAACAATAAATATTGAACATTGAAGAAATTGAAAAAAAAACCAATTGATACTTCATATCTCAAAAACGCTTCCATAAAAAAAAATTGAGTGTATTTTCGTATTTAGTGGGTCAAAATACATGGTAATTTACCTTTTGCAGCTACACCAAATACGCGCCCCATGTCAGGTTGTTGAATGGTCAGGGCCGGCTCTTTGTTCCCCTTAACTGTGTATAATCCGGCCCTGGGGCATACGACCCTCATATTTTCTCTATCGGCGATGCAAAGACGGTCCAGGGGCTCAATAAGAGCCAACTGGTGGGGTACTTGCAAAGACAAAAATTCTAGAACAAAAATAAAATACAGTTTTCTGTTTTGTATTTTTTAACGGTACACGGAGAGAAAAGTATAATGCTGATTACCATAATTATAATACCCTTTACTATAATTTATATTACTATTTGGGACAACTATCTTGTATGTTAAACCTTAAGGTAAAATATTATTTTTAACCAATTTTGTTTTTAATTCTTATTATAATTAGATTTTTTCCATTACTAATAAGTATAGTAAATTTTAAAATATTATGTTTACATTTTAAATATAAAATATTTTAAAATCGAATATTTTTATATGTTAACAATTAAAAATTGTAACATATTTATTGTACTTTTTAATACACAAAAACGTTATGAGAAAGAATTGAACCTACACCTCGCCAAAGTTTTTTGTTTTGAGTGCGTTCCATCAACTTCAAATACCGACAGACAGGTGTTTTGACCTATATTGGGTATCATCAGTGTCGACACGACACTGTCGAGCAACTTGTAGTTGTGGAACACACCCAAAACAAAGAAATACCTGAGCTTATATAACATGGTTGGTAAGCCAACAGAGGCGAGATGTAAGAACATCACGTGATCCACACCGTCTAACGACGCGTCGCGACGTGGCCTTTTCCGCAATCGGTACATACTATGCAACCAAGTAGGTTCAATTCTTTCTTATAAGTATTACCAGTAATGGGTCAAGAAAGTTTATTGAAGAAACTAAGAAAATTGAATGTTTTAAATGTCATGAGTTACTATATTGTATATTAGATATATTTAAATATATTTTTTATTAATGTGTGATATATTATAATATTAGATGTGCACCTTACATTTGATTAAATCATATAGTAAATATTACCATTTGTAGATAGTAAAATCAATTTACTATACGAACATATTAAAAATTAAATTATATATTATACATTTGTGATTTAGTAATATTGGTGTTGTAATCTTTACTAAAATTGTATAATAAAAAATAGTATTTTGTATTACAATCTTAATATTGTATTGACGAATATATAATATTGTTACCCTAAAAATTTGTTAAAGTAAATTTTCCTATATTTTTTTACTATCTAAAATTTACTATACATTTCTCTCCGTGTATATATATATACCTTGTTTTGGAATAACGCGTAATAAACCACCTGCAGCATTGTACTTTAAGATCCTACTGTTACAGTAACCATCAGCAATGAATATTTCCCCTGTACTTGCTACTGCTACAGACGTTGGTTTACATAAATGATTTGTATCGCTACCTGGCTCGAACGCCACTCCAAAAGTCAAAGTTGGTTGAATTTCTCCAGGTTTAAACTAAAATTTTTATTTATGTTATTTTTACCTACTTAAATAACCCTTAAGTTTCAACACTTTAAAGAACTATGAGGGACGTAATTTTTACGAAAGAAAATTACTTATAAGTTTATTTGGGTGATTCTACAAAAGTTGAATCAAATATTTGAGTGTTTTATTTTAAAATATATTCAATTTATCTTAAATTTTTCAATTTCACTACAAACTATAAAACATTAAATAATGTATTTTTCATATTTTATCATAGATTCCAATAATAGCAATTTTTAAAAAATTGATAATCTTTGTACTCACTTTTACCCGTCAGTTCTGTGTCCAATGTTAAAATTCAAAATTCCTGCGCAATATTGAAGTTTAGACGTCAAGTCCTCGTTTTAACTCACGTGTTGGTAAAAAATTACCTACAGAGCCCGCCCTTTGCACGACAGTCATCTGGAAAACAATGCAAGCGGCGAAGTTGTGGTGAATGCACGTATAGTGCCAGTCAAAATTTCAGTACTGTGGTGAGTAGTTACTTTCTTACGTATATATATTTCATTGTAATTTATATAATGCTATATGTGATTTGTTGATAAGTAGCATCCACTAATAAAAAATATCAGTAAAATACTTAATTCCGAATTATATTTGTATCCCATTCATCAGTACCGTGTCGTCAGTTCCATGTTCGATGTTTCGGTTATCTTTTTTCACAAACTTCAATTAAAATTCTGCTTGCGCAGAACTTGTTTATTTAATGTCATTATAAACCCATATAAATTTGGTGTGGTTCCCATATCTAATAATTGAGATATCGGTATACCCAAAATCCACCAGCCGCCACTGATGTGTGGTATTATTTGATTTTAAGATATTTAATGTATAATATGCACAAAGTTGCAATAAATCTTATATTTTCCGATAAATTATGTATTTAATTAGTACCCTGGTATACTCGTCACTTCCCTTGCATTCAAATTTAGAAAACACAGATGTTTCAGAAACTGTTTGAAAAAGTGACTGGCCCGGTCTGGAACAGTATATTTATTATATTATCTATGTTCTCATAACAAAATACTGTTTAATTTTCCTTGAAAACTATATATACAAAATGAGGTCAATAGTTGCCCAACTTTTGTAGAATCACCCATTTGACCTAAAGGGTGTGTGGGTCATTATTAAAATATAAAATACCTTGAAAACTTGATGTAAAGCTACATCGGTAATCCACAAATTGTCATGTCTATCCACTGTAAGTCCATGTGGCATGTAAAATAAGTCTGCCCCCCATTTTCCCAAAACTTTCCCGGTTTGGGAATCCAAAGTAAGGACAGTGTGCTCCTTGATTGGGCCTAAGTATGCTTTTTGAAAATGGTTTGTTTCGTTAAAGGTGCTAAAAATAAACATTATAATTATAAAATTATTCTTAAGTAACAACAACAAAAAATTTCGTACTAGTAATCCCAAACTCTATCGGCTCGGTGGAAAATCACTGGATGCAGTTGCGAGTTAACGGAAACTGCAGAAACTTGTCCCAAAGTTAAGTTTTCATGCGGCCAATATTTAACAGCCCTGGGTCTATCAGGTTTGTCAGCAGTATCTTTTTCCGGTTCGTCACTCTGTATATCACTCTGTAAATTAAAAATTAAAAACACTACGCTAAAGAAGTATCTCGGGTTTTCGCAACGCGCGCGCCATCTGGTGGACATACGTTGAAGAAAATCAACGCTTAAATGCTTATATACACTCACAGGCAAAATAACACAGCCACACAAAAAAAAAAAAAAGTCAGATACTTTTTACGAGACATGTATTTCTATGTATTTTGACTCGCTGAATCCGAATCCGAGGTCAAAATAGGACCTTTCACGATTGGTTTTCGACATAACCTCAAAAAACCGGTTTTTCAAGTATAGAATGGCGAAACAAAGTTTGATTTTAGATTTCAAGCTGCTGAATTCATATATAGCATCAGTTTTATAATATAACTATAGAATCTAAATCATAATCTCAAAACGTAGTTGTTTGAGCGGTGCTCTGCAGGACTAAGTAAGATTTCCGTACTCAGGAATCGAATCCGATATATAAGTCGAGCTAGCGTTTGTTTTTCATAAATCACCTCGGTGGATCAAAATCAGTGAATTTTAAATCATTTTTTAGGAGAACATACTTTTATTATTGGATTAGTAGAATTTAGAGCAGTTGATTAGATAGCTGTCTGCGAATGAGATGGTTTCTATATAGTTCTGCATACTCACTCAGTCCTGCAAAGCACTGCTCAGACAATTATGTTTTGAGGATATGTTCTAGATTTTCTTGTCATATCACAAAACTGATACTATATATGAATTCAGCAGCTTGAAATCTAAAATGAAACTTTGTTTCGCCATTCTATACTTGAAAAACCGGTTTTTTGAGGTTATGTCGAAAACCAATCGTGAAAGGTCCTATTTTGACCTCGGATTCGGATTCAGCGAGTCAAAATACATAGAAATACATATGTCTCGTAAAAAGTATCTGACTTTTTTTTTTTTTTGTGTGGCTGTGTAATCGATCCACACAAATTTTCGATGAATTTCAATCGCAAATAACTTTTTTATTTGATGTCGGATTTAAACGAATATTAAAGAATATTGTAGATAAATTAATGGACAATCGCTCACAATTTAAAAAATTACTAAAAAACAGACGTACGTTTATAATATACAGGTTTAAACAAAAAGATGTTTTTTACCATAAGTTTAAAACACTCTGTAGAGTGGCAAAACCGTATATTGATCTAAATTAAGTTTTATTTATCAAGTCACATCTATTCTTAACAGTTTTGTTTTTGGTTCACCTCGATTTATTTATTTTTGTGGGAAATATGGATTTTTTAAAAAAACATTGCAATTTCCAATATTTTTCTGTATGAAGAACTAAGGTTGCTATGGTCCATCCATAGGCTATGGAGAATGACAGTGACATATTTGTTGAATCATCCCATACTTTGACATGTCATACACGGCTTTCAAAAGCTATCAAATTGTTTTTTGCAAATTAATGTTTAAATTTTGAGGTGCCTTCTTACTTTAAAAATGGATATGTCTCCGACTGATGTTGCCAGAGCCATTAATTTAATCCAGGATGGACGGTCACAGTATTACGTGGCAAGTGTTTTAAACGTCACAAGAAGTAAAGTACAAAGGGCAACATCAGTCGGAGACATTTTTAAAAGTAAGAAAACACCTCAAAATTAACACATTAATTTACAAAAAACAATTTGATAGCTTTTGAAAGCTGTATATGACATGCCCAAGTATGGGATGATTAAACAAAACTGTCACCGTCATCCTCCATAGGCTATGGATGGACCATAGCAACCTTAGTTCTTCATACAGGAAAAATATTGGAAATTGAAATGTTTTTATAAAAAAATAAATTTGTGCGTAGAGCGACATCTATACGGAAATAGAGTAACCAAGTTGGTTTAGGAATCTGTTTTACCGGCATTTACCCTAAAAATTGCAATTTATTTAATATCATAATATATTATATTTATTTAGATACTGATAAAACGGAAATAATAATTATTGTATAATAATGTGATACCACAGACCATAACTATAATTTTGTTATTTTTATACAATATATAATTTTATTTTTTGGCCATTAAAAATATTTACTAGTCTACTGTCCAATATACCAAAGAATAAACATTTTAAATTTCCCTCTCATCCTGTAACCATGGCAACTGTAATCGTTGTGGAAAAGAGAAAAAGAGGTGGACTAACGGTCAAGGTAGGCCACGTCAATACCTATGGTAAACAAAAGAATTACGTACCTTTTGGTCGGTGCTAGCAAAAATAATAATCACAAAAATAAAAAAGGAAAACGTAGCTGCTGCTATAACATACGGCCTGGTCAATTTCATCTTATTCTTTGTTTTGTTACAACCATATTTTATGGTAGCTTAGTTAGTATGTACACCAAATTCACTACTAGTTGCATTCACCAGCAATTGTACCAGTTTTCTTCCTTGCGCATGAATATTAGTTTTATGGAATTTTAAAAACTATTGGGTACCTTTGTTTATGCGCAAGTTAAATTTTAATTATCGTTATATTAAAATTATTCGGTGCTAATACATAGGTTTTTTTTAATATAATAATGTCTTAATGCCAAGTCAATGTGGGACAAAATATTTTTTACTATAAATTTCACTGAAGATTATTAAAAAAATATACCGCTGATATAAATAGTTTCTTATGCTTGAAGTTATAATGGTTACTCTATTGTTTTATAGATGTCGCTCTATGCAAATCATTTTTAGATAATAATAAGTATTTGTCGTTACGGTATAGCATGCAAAAATCATTAAATTAAATTTGTAACTAAAGGCGTATATCAAACTTGATATATAATATTACTAATATTAAAGGTATAGTTAGTTATTTAACTATAGTTTGTTCAGTAATTATATCTCAAAAATAATAAACCCACTACAATATAGTCTAGGTTTAATTAGGTAAAGTTTATCAGATACTTGTTAAAATCCAAACAAATATTGATAAGGGATTAGCAGTACTTAGCTTAATGTTTGCTAAGGGAAATACGTATTTTTTCATTTCATGTCAATAAATTATTTATTGACTTCAATAAATTTAATTGTTTCATAAAAATAGTCGACCATATTAATATTAAGTTTGTAGTTTGTATATAAAATAATTATCATGTGGAATAATGTCTTACCGGTCTGTATTGTTCATTAAGATTCATCAACTGCCGGACTTCATCATAAAATTCTTGGTTGGGATTTCTTTCTTCATAATTCTGAGGATAGGACTCAAAGGCACCAACAAAAAGACCCAGGAGGATCACTGAGCTAACAGTGATGACCATAGCTGACTGACTGTTTCCTTTCATCAACTTAGCAATTTTATTATTTTATTTTAAATCGATATATTAGCACAAACCGCGCACGGCGCATGTTGTTAAAACCACAGTGATTTGATAACAGGGCAAATTTGGGAGCAGGTCATTTATACCGGGATAGAACATATGTTACCCCATGATATTTAATAAAACTAAATGAGTTTGACCTACACTTTTATTGTGTTTTGATCTTTCATAATTAAGTGGATATTACAGATTTTTAACGCAAAATTAATTATTTTTTACAATGTTTTTAAACCTATCCTCCGTGACTCTTTCTAGGTTAATGTTTTTAAATATAAAATATTAAAAATTAAAAGAAATAATTTTTATAACCATTTATGTAGGTGTTACAAAAATTGATTCTATCCTCCGTGAATCTGTTTTTGCTTTAAATTTTATGCAACGGATGGCGCTTTAATCATTTGAAATAAGCAAAAACCTCTGTTTACGACATTATAGATGCATGTGATTCCTGAAGGTCAGTTAGAATTTATATGCAGATGAGAGTGTTGCTGTTTTATAACTCAAAAGTTTAAGTTCATTAATTTGCCATTTAAAAACCTATCCACCGTGAAGTGTAACATCTCAGTAAGTAGATTTTTTTATAAATATTTTATGTATTTTTTAAAAATATTAAGGTGTCAATAACTTATTTTAAATATGCAAAGGGATTTAAAAAAAAAAACATACGAAATCCTAACCTCCGTGAAGCTCTAATATAAATATAAATATTAACAATTATTGTAGATCACTGTGCAATGGGGTGCTTATAGAAATAATGTAATATTCTTGAACTTTTGTCTGGTTTCTAAGGTCAAGGCTACTTTGCCAGTTCCTGTATTGATTCATTCCCTGATTTATTTCGCAAGTGTGTGTTACACCCCCAACTTTACCGGAATAATTTTCGCCAAATTCGCAAATGTTGTTTTTTGTTAAATCGGGAATGATTGAAAGATTATTTTGCAGTAATTTCAAACAATAAGTAGACAATTACATCAATTTTACTTTTTTATTATTTTAGTCACATCACAAACAAAATATGGCTCCCATATTATCCATTTTTGCCACGTGTTGGAAGAACCTAATAAAATAATAATTGGTTTTTATTTTCTTCATGTTTCATATTTGTTTTAAATTATAAGCTAACAAAGAAATATAAAATAAAAAACTTCCATATATCTACTCTATTTGTAGAACAAGAAAAAACAATATTAAACAGAAAAAGTTTGACCTTGAAATTAAACATTTTGAGAGTTTATGAACATTTCTTTTCTTCTAAAATTTACACTAAAATGTACAAACAATATTTAGGTTACAAATAAAAAGCGTTTTATAGATGAATATTTTTATTTGAATGTCAACACTTATAAATAATATAATAATCACCATCTCTCTATAATACAACATTGGAAATATAATACAAAATATAATAAATTTATGCTAAGTACTTAAATATTGTTCCCAATATCAACTTTAGGCATACTTTTTTCATACATAGGTACTTATTATTATCGCAGGCATTACAAATACGTCTATCACTTTTTATCAATGAAATTATTTCAACCATTAAAATTCGTTGGCAGTTTATTTTGGATAAATTCAAAAATTTTGGACGATGGAAATAAGTACAAAAATTAATAATACTATAAAAGGAAATGCTAGAATACAGTCGCAATAAAAATAATCAGTTCATCAAAGTTATGCACATTTAAGGCATTTATTACATTAAAGATTTTTAACAACCATATAGATATATAAGCCTATAATGATTTAACAATTTAAGGCAACGTTTAAAACTCAAGTTTTATTATTCTTATTGGCACACAGTGAAGCAGTCTTGTTATTATTAAAAATGCAGTAGTGCCACTCTTGAATAATAAAAATTCCTAAGTAGTAAAAAATATCACATCCAATTCTTTTAAAATACTGCTCTCAGACAAAAATAATAAAAAAGGTCAAATAACCAATAAAATCACACTTCAATCATTTTGATTAATTTTCTGTAGTGGGTGTTTGAAAAAAGCGAATTGTTTCTTTTCATAAAAATAACATGGTATTTTTTTTTGTTCCTTTTGATTTTTGTGACTCAACAACCAAAGGTCATATAGAAAATATGTTTAGATATTTTTGTAGAGAATTAAACGTTCTACATAATTTTTTGCTAAATAATTAAAAATGTTATTTTTTACAATGTTTTAAAAGTCTAAAACCTATCCTCCGTGACTGTTACTCTTTCTAGGTTAACATATAGATGTTTTCAAATATCTGAGCTAGTAAAAGCATACTAAAAATATCAGTAAATTAAACACATCCAAAGCAATCGAATCAAATATAAAACATTATTAAAAATTAAAAGAGATAATTTTTATAACCATTTATGTAGGTGTTACAAAAATTGATTCTATCAGTTAGAATTTATATGCAGATGAGAGTGTTGCTGTTTTATAAATCAAAAGTTTAAGTTCATTAATGTGCTATTTAAAAACCTATCCTCCGTGAAGTAAGTAGATTTTTTATAAATATTTTATGTATTTTAAAAAAATATTAAGGTGTCAAAAGATACAATAACTTATTTCAAATATACAAAGGGATGTTTAAAAAACATACGAAATCCTATCCTCCGTGAAGCTCTAATATTCAAAATGTACGATTTCTTAAAATTTTCCTTTATCGGATAAAATATTTCTGAAAATAGAATTAAATAATTCAAAAACTAAATAATGAACATAAATTTGTTTTTTATAGTTTGTTTATGACATATGTCAAAATATCGGTAATGCAGCTATGCTGAATTATCGACATCTTCAATTTTTGAACATTGTGTTACCAACTGAGCGAAAAAAAACAAATATTTTTATCGGTAAATAAAAAAATGTCAAAGTTGAACTTTGATCTTTAATAACTTTTTAACCAATTAGTTTAGCGAAAAATCATAAGTAACCTTTTTTGTAGAGCGTTTAATTCTCTACAAAAATACGCGAACATATTTTCTGTGTGACCTTTGGTTGGTGAGTTACAAAATCAGAAAATTTGCTTTTAGTCTGTAGGTACTAAAATCTAAGTTGTGTGTAAAAATTTTGTTGCTTGTCAATTTGTCTCGATTTTGACGTTTAATGCGTCATTTTTCGTCAAATTTAATAATTTAAATGTCAAATATATTTTCGTTTGCCTGCATTAGACAAACTCTATGGATCATGATCTGGGGCGTACGTTATAGGACTTGCTGTAACTGGGTTTATCTGACTGCAGGCAGTCGGAATCCGAGGTGGGAATTTTGGTGCGATTTTTGAGCGACGGGTGGCAGCACTTGTAGTAGACAATCAGGAAGGCGATGGCAAGCAAGAAGGCTACAACCTGGGCGCTTGCCGCGCCGTAATACAACGCTGGATTCTGCGAGGAACTATTAGTGACGCACCACACTACAAGTGCGGCTGTGTTTTCCATAAAGCACACCAAGTAGTACGCTAAGTAGACGTACCTTGTTGGACCGTCTGTGGGAGAAATGAAGGCCAGCACGTAGGCCAGACCTAAGGCTATGGACACAAAAAGTTCCTCGCAGCGATTACTACCGCAAGCAGTGGAATGGCTTTGCCCTAAGGCCAACCACACTGACATAACCGTCCAATGCAAGGCACAAACACAACCCATCCAGGCCGGGAATATAGAAGCCAGAAGGCTCAGAGCTAGCACTCTGGACACTAAAACAGACAGCCGTAGATAAACATTACTTCACGTGACAAAAAAAACTTACGGGCACTCATTAGTTGCCACAGGAAGGCCACCAAAATCCCCGCCCACTTTATTTTGTTTTTGTCGTCCCGCGCATATCTGACAGATCTGTGGTAGGTCGTCAAAGACCAAGCTATCGAAGATAAAGCTGCCAAAACGGTCCAAGCTTGCATCACTGCAATATCTAAAAAAACATTCACTTCACAATCCACACACAAAAAATATTGGGTTATAGAAAACATCTTGATTTAAGAAAATTATTGCCTTTTTTCAATATCACACACATTTTGTTTTAAGAACATTTATTCTTGAATTAAGTAAGTATCTTTTTTATTTAAGAATACCACTAATTTATTTCAAAAATTATATATTCTTGCTTTTAAACAATCAAAGTTTTATTTAAAGAAATTAAATTTTCTTACATTAAGAAAATATTCTTGAAGTAAATCAACGTGAATTAAGAAAATACTAGTTTAAAGAATATATTATCTTCGTTATATATGAGACAAAGATTGTTTTGGATCAAATAAATTATTTATTTGATACAAGAATTTTTTTTTAGTGCAGGATTAGAATATTCAGATCAAAATTTGATGTGCGAATAATTCTTCTAGAAGAAGAAAAAGGAGAAGTAGATGGAAATGGATAGGGTACACACCAAGGAAAGACAAGAAAGGATACCAGGAAAAAACACAAAAAATTATGAAGAACTTTAAAAACATAATTTCGTCTTGAGCTTCCTATTAAAAGAGTTCTGGAAAAAAGAATACTATCAAATGTTATATTACCTGTGCTGAACTTGTTGGCTTCAGTCTGAGTTGTCATGCTCTTCAGCAGAATCATTAGCTGGATGACTGCTTGTGGTGCGGAATGAAGGAAGCAGTGAAACAGCCTGAGAAGGGCGCCATTTGTGTCCTCATCCAGCATTCGTCTGTACAAAGTGGTCTGCTGGTTCTCATTGCCAGTGGCTGCAGCAATTTTGCTTTTGATGCCGTATATGAGGGTGTCGATGTAGCGAAGAAGGGGCGATAGTTGAAGAAGAAGAAACACGATGCGGACGATCCAGTGAAAGGAGGAGGTTTTTCCCAGGGACGGATCGTCGTGGTCCACAATATACCTGAATGATGGAAGCATAAATAAAACCGGCGTTTTGTAATTTTAAACATTTCTGTGAAATCGGAATTTCAATTGAGTTCACCGTTTTCGAGATATTTACAAAAAAAATCTCCTAATTACGTCACTAGGCTATTGACAACGTTGCCAGCTTTTTCTATGGTTGCCAGCGTGTTTAGTTTAAGATTCTTACGATAGATGGCGCCACGTTATAATATTTTAGTTTTAAAACCACTTGATCTATAATTTTAGTTGAGAAGAAGAAGAAGAATTGATTTTTTGACGTTTCTTTTTTTCGGGTTATGTTTTTTTTTAATTTAGATTATTGAAAATCAATGTTATTTGTAATTGATATTAGATACGTGATTTATTAATAACGGACTCCAAAGCAGAGGAGTCTTGTGGAATGGTTGGTTACATTGAACATTGGAGCTTTTAAACAAATAAAGTAAGTACCTATAATTATAATCATATTTTGTAGTAAATGCATTTCATTAGTATAATGCCTAGTTCTTTATATTCTTTTAGATATATCTTGGACTCTAAAATATCAAACAGTAATATGATACCTCGTAATAAGGAATGAATTTGGTGACCATCTTTCACTCAACTGACAGTGACACAGTGGCGGCTCGTCGGGGTAGGCAAGGTAGGCGCCGCCTACCCTGGAAATATGGATGTAAAATAATAAATATAAGTAATTTAACATTAATAAAATTACCAAATTTAATTAAATTATTTTTATTGCATTCATAAATCTTATTTATCGCAAATAAAACCTTTTATTGAATTGTTACATGATGCGTCATGACGAAAGTAGCTAGTTCACACCTTTTTCTATGCTCTAAATCAGCATCTAAAGCAAGCAAAGGCAACTATCCCAAGCGCCTATTTATTTGATTCTTGCACGTCAACCAAGTGAAGAACGCTATACCGCTGACCAATAGAAACGCCGTTGACGTATGGTAAAATTGCGATGTGTAGGCGACACGATTGTTCGCCTTCGGCTAATCCGAAAGCCGATTCGGCTTCCGACTTGTAAGTTATTTTTTTAAGCCGGTAATCGATAAAATGATCGATCTTAATGCAAGAGGTTCAGAATATAATATGAATTTAATATTAAAAGTCCTGTAAATAACATTATTTGCAAGAATATATTAATATAATAAATAATTAATTTAAAATAGTGACATCTGTTGAGATAAATTCGAACGGTAAAGGGTTTTTAAGCAGATTTCTTTTACATTTTAGTTCCGCCAATTAGATGTTTTTGAGTTAAACAATAATAATTATTGTTTTAAGCCAAATTCACTTTATTTTTGTGACTGTGTCAGGAAATTAATTACCCGCTAAGTATTACTGTACATTATTTATTATTATTATTAGAATTAGTATTAGAATTAGGTAGTAGCGTTGATTATTAGCCTTGTTTAATAAACAAGGGTATTATTTTGCAATAATGAAGGGCCCATTTCATGACATTATTTGCTCATTACTTGAAAATCCATTTTCTCGCCTTAATGAAAACGATCGAAAAGATGTTATGATTAATGATCGCCCTATTCCACATCTAAATCTTTTAAAACCTGATAAAAAACATGGTTCAACTTTTTCTCGATCGTTTAAAAAGCAATGGTATGAGAATCATCGATGGTTATGTGGTAGTTTTTTTAAACAGAGTTTGTTTTGTTGGCCGTCGCCTACCCCAGCGCGGAAGGCACGAGCCGCCACTGCAGTGACAGTATTTGTACATAACCTGTTCGGGTATTTTCTGACATAACCGAATGAAATCATTAACAAGACAACTTGACAACAGGGTAATTTTCAACCAATAGAAATCTTAGAATGTTGTTCACATGGCGAGGTTTGTGACGTCATAAAAATTTATATTTTTTGTAAATATCTCGAAAACGGTAAACTCAATTGAAATTCTGATTTCACAGAAATGTTTAATATTACAAAACGCCTTGAATAAAACCATAAAAAGTATAGGTCAGAAAAAATTTAACTACCCCATTGTTGTTATTCAAATTAAATTTATTTCAGTTAAAAAATCTTTGTTAATAGTTTACGTTAAGAACAATAACAAACATATTTTATTGCAACAAAAAGACTTTTTTATATTTACTATTGTTTTGCAATGGTAACAAAATTTTTATAATCTTATTGATTTCACTTGTGCGAGTGAAGTGTGGTAAAATCTAGCATGATAAAAATATCAAAAAGATCACCAAGAAAATTAAAATTTCGACGTTTTCTAAAAGAAATATTTAAGGTCTATTCTATAAACGAAGCAGACTTGTTATTTAAAAAGTGAGTTTGTATTTTTCTTATAATATGAGTTAATTTTTTTGTAATAATAAATAATTTGTTTTAATGCCTTGCAATTATTTAAAAAAAAAAACTACCCAACACCCAACAGTAGGTTGAAAATGTGACCATTGTTACAATGAAAATAGTTTATTGAATTAACAATTAATTTGTTGTTAAATTTACATAAATTTAATAATATTATAAAAAAAGTTTTATTTTAAATGAAAAGGGATTTGTAAAATTTACAAAATTTCTATGAATAATACCAGTAGGGTTTCATTAATACTACAAAACGTTTTTGTAAACGGTATAGAACTGTTTTTTTGGAAAAATAATAATAACTATATTTATCAATGCGTTTCTGCAATTTTTATAAAAATGATCTAATTGTTGGTTGTTTACTTTATTAAGACTACTTTTTTGTTATATTTATTAAAAAAAAAATTAATTGTTTTTTGTGCCTGTATTTGTATTTGTGTTTTCTTTTTGTGTTGGGGAATATTTCCAATATTTGTTTACCGAAAATAATAATAAAAAATGTCCATAAAAATTATTTATTGCAAATTGTGGAGGTTTGAAATCAAACAAGGTTTTTTTTAAAGTTAAAATATTGTTGACATTCTGTATTGATTTACTAAAAACAAGATTTTGAACGATTAATTTATAAAACCAATTTTTTAAACCACCATACATTTTACATTAAAACTTCCTTAATGTTACATATATTCTTGGTATTTATTTTTGCGTACATTTTAGTACATTTTGATAACTTATCAATGATAAGTATGTTAATGATTCATACCAGGAGAATTTACAACATCATTAATTTTTCATTGTAATTATTTACTATAGTAAAGGAATTTTTATCAAACTTGCGTTTTTGATAAGAAAGTAAAAAAGTATGTTAGAGTAAACAATTATTGTATAAAGAATAAATATTAATATTAATAGTTTTTAAAATAATGATTATTATTTTGTTTAGAGATACCTATATTGCTTTTTAATCATCACTACCTTATTTACCTATCGGTATATAATAATAACTCTTTGGTTTTGGTTTAAATTCGGTTAATGTAACACATTATATTTCATAATTACCACAGTTAGTTAAATTAAACGAACTTGTTATTTTTTAAATACCAACCTAAAAAAATCACGACAATTTACAATGTTTTAAAAGTCTAAAACCTATCATCCGTGACTGTTACTCTTTCTAGGTTAACCTATACATATGTTTTCAGATATCTGAGGTAGTAAAAGCATACTAAAAATATCAGTTCACTAAGTAAATTAAACACATCCAAAGCAATCGAATCAAATATAAAATATTATTCAAAATTAAAAGAGATAATTTTTATTACCATTTATGTGGGTGTTACAAAAATTGATTCTATCCTCCGTGAATCTGTTTTTGCTTTAAATTTTATGCAACGGATGGCGCTTTAATCGTTTTAAATAAGCAAAAACCTCTGTTTACGACATTATAGATGCATGTGATTCCTGAAGGTGAGTTAGAATTTATTTGTAGAAGAGAGTGTTGCTGTTTTATAATTCAAAAATTAAGTTCATTAATTTGCTATTTAAAAACCTATCCACCGTGAAGTGTAGTATCTCAGTAAGTAGATTTTTTTATAAATAGTTTATGTATGTACAATTGTATTGTGAAGCTATCTTCCGTGAAGCTCTAATAACCAAAAACATATTTGATAAAACTTAACTGGTGGTTTTCTGTAATATTCGGACATTATTTAAAAAAAATCAAACTCAAGGTTTAAAAAATAATTACCAAATATAATTTATTCCAAAATTCACATTTTAAATATCCTTGTTCAAGGAAACGATGATGTAATAGAGTTTTGGTATTATTCGTCGTTATTTTAAAATGTAGATTCGGAACAAGGATTCTTGAATAGATAGATGGAAAAATCATGGCCAAATAAAGCAATAAATTTGGGGGTCAAGACGGAATTCTACGTTCTATGTTGAATCACAGTAAATTTAGAGTTTTAAAGAGAAGAAATAACAAGTTTAAATTAATTGTTTCAATCCCTTTACTATTTACTTATTAATTCAAAATAATGGTGTAACTGGTTTTAAAACTGTTTTACCACACCTACTATGATATTAATAAAATATAATAAAAACAGGTATAATTATTATAATAAAATACCTAATACCTAAAGCAATATTTTTGCATGTATTTAGGAACCGGTTGAATAAATAAAAAATGATATCACTCGTATTTTTACATAATTCAAGTAGGTATGAGAAAGTATTAAATTGCAAGCAACTTTTGAATGCGTGACCAATGCAAAAATAAATATTATGTTTTAGGGACTTTTTGTTGCAGAAGATAAATTTGTAAAGTTGGCAGAAAGTAAACACAAACATAGATATTCACGAAAATTTTTCTGTGTAAATCAAAATTTAGTTATCCCTTTATTTAAATGTCATTATAAAATTATTCTTTTGTACATAAATAAATGTTTTTAAACATGAAAATAAAGAAAATAAAATTTAATTTTAGGTAAAGAATTTTATTATATGTCATAAATACATCTGACAACCAGATTTTCAAATGTTACTGTCATGGATATCTATAAATAAAAACAAAATACACAATATTTAAAATAGGGTTGCCAACTTTTTTTTTGGGATTTTCTGGGCAAGGTGATTAAAAATTCTGGACACCGGTACAAAATTATGGACATATTTTATTTGAAATTTTTTTTAACTTGGGAAAACACATAACTATTTTTTTATGTTCTTTCCCCATTTGGTGCTTTTTTAAATCGCCTTTGCCACAGTAACCCACTTGAAATGTTTTTTTACAAATTTTGCAAAATCCTCTCGATAAACCAGTGGAAGAACTGCCGTCTTCTGTTACCCATGGAAATTCTGCTTCCCATTCTTTTATATACTTACACAGACGCCTAATTTTTTTTGGAGGAGTTTTTGGATTTGACAAGGATGACGAGAATGACATAGTAACTAAGTAGGTACTGTCCTATTTTATTCTAAAATTATATCAAACAACTAATATAAAACGTTCTAATAAATTATACAAAAAATAGTCTTACCTTTTAAGAAAACTAAATAGGTCAGAAGCAGCAGTTCCGCAGTATTCCGCACGTTAATTGTCACAATCAAACGATTAATTAAACAAATCGATAATTATCTTAAGACAACAGTCGTAAGTTACTTATAAGACAGGACTGGATTATTCTCGATTAGTGCTGTCTTTCTCGCTCCTGCCTTATGTGTAAGAAAGGAGTGTGAGTGAGAAAGAAAAGAAGCATGGTTTCAGCCTTTCACGCAACGCCTACGGAAAAAGTCGAGCGCTCACGAGGCAGGCACGAATATTTAAATTCTGGCGGCACGAGGCATGGCTGGTACAACGTTGTCGGATTGTGGAAAAAATCCTTCGAAAAAATTGAAAAATGTGCCAACGTGAAAATTATGAACATTTTACGTCCAGCCAAAGGTATTGACTGGACGCTGGACAAATGAGCCGAAAAGGTGGACGTCCACCCAAATTCTGGACAGTTGGCAACCCTAAATTTTAAAAGTAGGTAACTAGGTATAATGTTATTACTTAGGTACATGTGTAATATAAATAAAATACATTTTTTGTAAATAAAATGACATTACGTTTGGTGGTTTACTTATAAAGGTGGATTTAGCCATCATTTAATGAAAAACTGGTAATTTCTTACGAAATTCTGAAACCTGCAAACTGGTGTACGTGATAGGTATGTAAACCAGTTAAAAATAGCATTTTGTGGGTACTTACCATCGTAAACTAATAGCGGTGGTGAAAAGTGCTGATAGAAGCATAAACGAAAGCGTGAGAGCCAATTCAACCCCACAGTGGTTGCCGTAGTACAGATACAGCAGAATACAGGCCAAAGCCAAATCTAGGACGTAGGTTATGATCGATAGGGCTATACAGGTCACGTAAAAAACCCCAAAAGTTTGCCCGCTCTCCCCAAATTTGTCGCGAAGGTTGGTTTGTTTCAAATTTTCGATTCTGGCTAGCGAGGGGTCCCGCGAAAACTTCACAACAGGGCACTCGTCTGCCATCTCATATTACAATGTTGTTTATCGGAAAATTCACTGCACGCATTTTAAAGTTTCGAGTCTTAATAAACAAAATACAATCGTCGAACGAGACCACCAAAGAAACAAACGAAAATGACGATTCGGTGACAGGTGGAATAACAAATTCACTGCGCATGACCTCATAGGCGTGCAATTATATTTTTTTAAGGTCGATTTAAAAATATTAAAATCAACATTTAATTGCGTCTTAAAACAATAAACAATGTAATAATAAAATTAAGGAGGTACTTAAATATGTATTAAAATAATTAATTTTATTAATACAAAATAATTTAAAACCCATTATTTTAAATTAAATGCATTGATTTGAATTTATTTTAATAGTCTGGTTAATAATTAAGGTCAATTGAAAAAACCCCATGATTTATTAAAAATTATTTTTAGACATATTTATACCAATAAACAATAAATTTTGTGACGCAATAAAAACAAGTATTTATTTTAAATAAATCTGTATTCCTACATAATTTATTAATTACATTATACCTAGCTATAGATTTAAGTTGTACTTTTAAATATTTAAATAAATTTTCCCAATATGTAGGTATATTTTACATAAAGGTGATTTAAACAGTTCCAGTCATAATATTTCTGATGTTGTTTAAAAATGGCCTAAAAAATATGAATAATTATGAATCAAGTTGGGCAAATTTTAATAGGTATACCTACTTTGAGCAAATTTGTTCTCCAGGAGTGTAAAAAGGATTAGAAACTATATCAGCGTACTCGGAATGTATTTTTCTAAACATCTAAAAAATAAAATAAATTAATATTAATTAAGTTTATTTTTGTTTTTTCGAAGAAAAGTCATTCTTGCTAAAAAAAATTATCGTCGAAAACATACCATTGACATAAAGAAATTGGGATTTTATGTACAGGGTGTTCAAAAATTATGAAAATATGAAAACGATTCAAGAGATAATTTATAATTTTTTTAAAAATTTTTATAGGAAAAAGTTGTTTGTAATTAACAAAGAAGTCTAAATACAAAAATTATGGCGAAAATTATATTGTTGATTTTTATTTTTGAAAAGTTATTAAATTTTACTAAAGTTCATTTTTTTTATCTGGACTGCGGCAACGTTGCAAATTTAGGGTTTTGGTAGGTAAATACAGTTGTCAAAACTTAAGTTGGTCGCATTGATTAAAACAAACTAAGCTAGTTATAAATCTAATTGTGGTTATGTATAAATTATTGTAGGTTACATTGTGCAGTTGTCAAGTTGAGTTGTCGAATTTCGTAGTCAAAAATGCAATTAATTTGGCTTTGGTGGTGCTTGGACGAGTAAAATCATATAAAAAAAGAAGTTAAATATAGGTTGCTTTACGGCCCAGAAGAGAAAGTATTCCTAGCGGATAATAATCTTCGCTTTGAAAAGAATTTATACAAAAGAAATTAAAATTTTTTGTGAACCTAAATGTTGTCCAATGGTGAATAATGTGAAAATAATGTGTAATGTAATATTTATTGAACCAAATTCGTTACTTTTTTACATGTCCATAAGGCGATGTACTTTTTCTTCCATTGTGGCATTTGGCATAATTTCATCAAAATGAAGTTTTGCCCTCAAAAGGGCTTTTACATTCGAATTCGTTGCTATTATTTTTGACACAATTATCTTTTTATTTATAATTGACAAGTAAATTATAAATAATAAATATTATTGTCAATTTGACAGTGTCATAGTATTTAATTAAATTCTTTAGCAGAAGTACCATTTTTAAATACTAAAAATACCAAGTCAAACTGACAAACCTAACAAAAAAACACGAGTCCAGATAAAAAAAAAATATAACCTCAATCCTGAAAAAAACAAAGCAAAATCAACTTAATTATTTACAAATTTTTCGTTGTAATTTTTTTTAAATTAAAAATAAACGCGGTTTTCCTAATTTTTGAACACCCTGTATAGAAAATCTCAAATTTTTGTATGCCAATGTTATTTTTTTGACCTTTAAAACTTTTTATCATGAATGACTTTTCTCTGAAAAAACAAACCAATAGTAACAAAAAATCCCAAACTTGGTTTAATATACATACAGATCTGATTTCATTATCCCTCAAAACCATGTTGGTAGAATCAACTATGATGATAAATTTAATTTTTGTATTTGTAACATATCCATAACTAAAAGCACATTTTTTTAAATAAAAATATATAGATACGATTAAATTTTTACAAATCTTACATTTTGTGAGTTTCAAGGGAGTACAGCATTCCCAGATACAACTCCCTCAAATCCGACCCTGCCTTATTTCCTGCTGATAATTTTTCCTCAACAACATCCAAAGACGACAAAACCTTGTATTGAAAGCTCAGTTCCTCATCCGGGTTAAGGCAGGCGAAAAATTTAGGCGAATTCTAGAAACATCAATCATAATTAGCAACAATATCAAGGACAAGTTAAAAATTCCAAGAAAAACTTTCAAGTTAATCACTGCACGCCACTGATCGGTTTAGTTTACAAAAGTGACAGAAGAGGTGACGTATGTGAAAGAAGTGTCAAAACTGCAAGTTTTTCTAAGATTTTAAACGTGATTTCGATAAAAAACTAAATGATAGAGACGTTATGTGTTGGTAGAAGGTTTAAATGTCGGGAAACTTACGTCTTTTCCGATAATAGCCACACAAACTGCCATGTTTACGATTATTAAGTGACAGAAACTACCAGCGCCACCTACTAGCACCCGAACAGACTAGATTTGAATTCAGGCGCGAAATGAATAATGAGTTGCGGTCGCTACGAAACGAAGAAAGGGCCTTCGTGAGGTTCATAAACGCCACGGAAAGGACAGTGCGGATCGTTTGGGTGGGATTTTCGGGGCAGTACGTAACCTACAACTATCTCGCCAAAGGGAATTACATAGACATAAACACGTATAAACAGCATCCTTGGATAGCCCTGGATACATCCACAGAAGACAGACTGCTCATAGATAGAAAGTACGTGTATTTTCCCAGGACCACCAAAGAATATTTCGAAGAGAGGATGCCGGGCAAAGCATTGCCGCCGAATTTCGAAACCAGAATCAAGGTGTACGTAACCTTACCTCTATACTCTCTACGATACAGGGCTCTTATGGAGCTGAGAAACCATTTTGACACGACTGAAGGCATCGAGGACTTGGAGTTGCCTCGACAGCTGACTGAAGACTTAAAGAAACTTATTACTCAAAGAAATAATCAAAAGAACGACTGCAATACTCCTCCAGAACAACCATTATAATTTTTTGTTTGAAACTCACTAAAATTGTAATTATGTGTATAGAAATTAGTCTCATTATTAATATATCTATGTATATTAACTTTATTTATGTATTTTTCTATTCTACGACAAATATTAGTCATTAAATATCATTTTCTACTAATAGTTTGAATATTTGTATGGAGCGACATCTATACAAGAATAGAGCAACCAAATTGATACTAGGAATCTATTTTACCGGCATTTAAAATGACAGTGTTAGTTTGTCAAATTCTTCTGTTCAAATCGGAAATTCCGATTCGGAATTTATCCCTTGAAAATGTACTGACTACCAAAGATAATACATTATCTTTGCTGACTACCGTTTAAAAAGGTTAGTACAAATGAATACTTATAAACTTTTAATGTTTTAATAAAGATTTTAATTTTGATAAAAGACTGTATTTCACCATCAAAGACCCATATATGGCAATTAAAAATAATGGCAAAGAAAACCTGCTTTTCTTTGTTATAAAGGACAATCTACCAACAAATCAAGTTAACTTATTTGTAAATAGATATTTTAATTTTAAATATTTTCTATTTAGTTTTTTTTATTTATTTAAATATTAAGGATTTAATTTATTAATAAATTGTATTGTGATGGTAGCAATAACATATTTAATAAATATATACCTACCACATTTAATCCACCATAATAGAAACTTTAGCTTGATCAGAGATGATATTTTATATGAAAATCTTAAAACATATTTTTTTTAACTGTCATTTCAAATTTCATGCTGCCAACTTAAAAATACAAAAATATGACATTTTTAAACCTTAATTTTGCCATTATAGCAACAAATTAACAATTTATATTGTTATTTATTTACTTTTTATGTAGTTTTTAATTTTTAATGATACTTTTACTTGTAATAAAGTATTAATTCGTTAATTAAAATACAGCGTTTTATTTTTACAACATTGGCAACGCTGAATTTGCTGCCACGGCCTACTGTTATTTATTCATACTCTTGAAAGAATCATTTAAGAATGTAAGAGTTTAATAATAGTATATTAAAGAACTAATGTCATAAGAAGTCATTTTGTCGCACGCGGACAATTTATAAAACGAGTGACGAAGGAGCGAGTTTTATAATGGACAAGTGCGACAAAAGGTCTTATGACATGAGTTCTTTATGCTATTTTATCTATTTTGCAAACATTTTATAAAACAAATTAATTTTATACCTTATATTTAATTTGGTGGAATTTTACTTTACATAGTTGGTATCACAGTTTGAAAGGTCATTAACCTTTCAAACATTATCACATTCTTTCGCTATGGCGTCGTTAATTTACAATAAGTATTTACAATAAGCGGCTGTTAAAGAAGAAAAAAGGATTTTCTTTGGTGTTAAACAAAATTTATTGCACGAAAAGTCTCGTAAGTACTAGAAAACAAATCATAAAAATATTATAACCTATAGGTATTCAAAATTGTATTTTACCAGTAGCCAACCTATAAAATCAAAATTTTGGGTGGAATAAAGTACCTCATTAAAGAACCAAAAGCGGTGTTATAATGAAGTCATTATGAAACCAAAATAGATAAAATAATTTTGGGAACCTGTATTATCATAATGCCCTGAAAAAAATTGTAGTAAATTAATAAAAAACCATAAAAATATACTTTATTATAATCACAAAATTAAATAAGTATTTACGTCAATATTCACTGGATAATAATTTAAAATTAACAGCCCTATAAATGCAATAAATATATTTCATAAAGTCAACTATACAATAAACATTTATACAAATAAATTAAAATATAATTTACAATTCACTAAATTTATGTATTGATTATTTTAGTATAAATAAATTTTGTGCTAATTTAGTAATTTTACGTCAACAAAAGTGTAAAATAGGAATGTTGTTAGGACTTCTAAAAAACACAAAAATATGACATTTTTAAACCTTAATTTTGCCATTATAGCAACAAATTAACAATTTATATAGTTATTTATTTACTTTTTATGTAGTTTTTAATGATACTTTTACTTGTTATAAAGTATTAATTCGTTATTTAAAATACAGCGTTTTATTTTTACAACATTGGCAACGCTGAATTTGCTGCCACGGCCTACTGTCTTGAAATAATCATTTAAGAGTTTAATAAAATAATTTTGGGAACCTGTATTATCATAATGCTCTGAAAAAAATTGTATTAAACGAATAAAAAACCATAAAAATATACTTTATTATAATCACAAAATTAAATAAGTATTTACGTCAATATTCACTGGATAATAATTTAAAATTAACAGCCCTATAAATGCAATAAATATATTTCATAAAGTCAACTATACAATAAACATTTATACAAATAAATTAAAATATAATTTACAATTCACTAAATTTATGTGTTGATTATTTTAGGATAAATAAATTTTGTGCTAATTTAGTAATTTTACGTCAACAAAAGTGTAAAATAGGAATGTTGTTAGGACTTCTAAAAAACACAAAAATATGACATTTTTAAACCTTAATTTTGCCATTATAGCAACAAATTAACAATTTATATAGTTATTTATTTACTTTTTATGTAGTTTTTAATGATACTTTTACTTGTTATAAAGTATTAATTCGTTATTTAAAATACAGCGTTTTATTTTTACAACATTGGCAACGCTGAATTTGCTGCCACGGCCTACTGTCTTGAAATAATCATTTAAGAGTTTAATAAAATAATTTTGGGAACCTGTATTATCATAATGCTCTGAAAAAAATTGTATTAAACGAATAAAAAACCATAAAAATATACTTTATTATAATCACAAAATTAAATAAGTATTTACGTCAATATTCACTGGATAATAATTTAAAATTAACAGCCCTATAAATGCAATAAATATATTTCATAAAGTCAACATTTATACAAATAAATTAAAATATAATTTACAATTTACTAAATTTATGTATTGATTATTTTTTAATATAAATAAATTTTGTGCTGATTTAGTAATTTTACGTCAACAAAAGTGTGAAGTAGGAATGTTGTTAGGACTTCTGGAAACCTTTGGGGTTGGTTTTCTGCCACTTCCAGGTATCCTTGCACATGTCCTTGATATCCCTGGTGGCGGTCCAGTTTAACTCGTTTTTGGCGAGGGTGGCGTCGGCGTAGCACGCGGCAACGTCGCCTTCCCTGCGCGCCGCCAACTCGTACTTAATCTGTTTACCTGAGGCTTCCGCGAACGCTTTCACCATCTCCAGAACGGAGTACCCGCGCCCCGTGCCTAGGTTGTAGGCTTTCCAGGAGGCGAAAGAGGGGTCGAGCATCTTTTCCAGCGCTTTCAGATGCCCGACGGCGAGGTCTGATATGTGGATGTAGTCGCGCACGCCAGTGCCGTCTGGCGTGCGGTAATCCGAACCGAATACTGTTAGTTTTTCCCTACGACCTACGGCTACCTGCAAGAAGTTTTGCGCTTTAAGATTGTCTAAGTCAACAAAATTAAATAAATAAAAACTGCCCTTATATGCATAAAAATCTAAAAAAACCTAATCAAAATGGTAGGACAAATTCGCACAGTGGGATAAATTTAAAAAATGGTAGGACAACTTCGCACAGTGGCATAAATTTAAAAAAAATTGTAAAAAATTTCCCAAATTCCAAATTCACCAAAATTATGTTTTTTGAAGATTATTTAAACATCCACATGTTTTTTATAAATCTTATGTATCTTCGTTATTTAACTGACAACTGCAAAAAAGTTTTAAATTTTTAATGCACAAAAATCTAAAAATTTATCACAGTGGGATAAATTTCAAAAATGGTAGGACAAATTCGCACAGTGGGATAAAATTAAAAAATCTAAAAAAAATGGTAGGGAAATTTTGTACAGTGGGATAAATTTAGAAAAATGGTTATTGACTGACAACTGCAAAAAACTTTATTTTTTTATATTTTTTATGCATTAAAATCTTTAAAAAAATCTAAAAAATGTTTGGACAAATGGGATAAATTAAAAAATTACAACTGTGGGATAAATTTAAAAAATGGTAGGACAAAACTTAAAAAATTGTAGGACAAACCTAAAAAATGGAAGGACAAATTCGCACAGTGGGATCAATTTTAAAAATGGTAGGACAACTTCGCACAGTGGGATAAATTTAAATAAAGTTGTAACAAATCTTCTAAATTCCAAATTCATAAAAATTATGTTTTTTGAAGGTTATTTAAACATCTAAATGTTTTTTATAAACATCTTTATCTTCGTTGTTCAACTGCAAAAAACTTAAATTTTTAATGTAAAAAAAAAATCTAAAAAAAATGTTTGGAAAATTTCTTACAATGGGATTAATTTAAAAAAGGTAGGACAAATTCGCACAGTGGCATAAAGTTAAAAAAGGTGTAATTTTAAAATGTTTTATGCATAAAATTAAAAAAAAAAAGGTAGGAAAATTTCGCACAGTGGCATAAATTAAAAAAAATGGTAGGACAACTTCGCACAGTGGCATAAATTTAAAAAAAAGTTGTAACAAATTTTCTACATTCCAAATTCACCAAAATTATGTTTTTTGAAGATTATTTAAACATCTACATGTTGTTTATAAATCTCTTGTATCTTCGTTATTTAACTGACAACTGCAAAAAACTTTAATTTTTAAATTTTTAATGCGGGAAGGAAAATTTATCACAGTGGGATAAATTAAAAAAGGTGTAATTTTATTTATGCATAAAATTCTAAAAAAATGATAGGAAAATTTCGCACAGTGGGATAAATTTAGAAAAATGGTTATTTACTGAAACTTTATTTTTTATGCATTAAAATCTTTAAAAAATCGTAGGAATATTTCGCATAGTGGGTTAAATTTCAAAAATGGTAGGACAAATTCGCACAGTGGAATAAATTTAAAAATGGTGTAATTTTAAAATGTTTTATGCAAAATATTCTAAAAAATGGTAGGGAAATTTTGCACAGTGAGATAAATTTAGAAAAATGGTTATTTACTGACAACTCCAAAAAACTTTATTTTTTTTATATTTTTTATGCAAATCTTTGAAAAATCGTGGGAAAATTTCGCACAGTGGGTTAAATTTCAAAAATGGAAGAACAAATTAAATTTAAAACGGTTGTAATTTAAAAATGTTTTATGCATAAACTTCTAAAATGGTAGGAAAATTTCGCACAGTGGGTAAATTTAAAAAATGGTAGGACAAATTCGCAGCGGCATAAATTACAAAAAAAACAAAATTTCAAAATCATCAAAATTATGTTTTTTGAAGATGATTTAAACATCCACATGTTTTTTATAAATCTCTTGTATCTTCGTTATTTAACTGACAACTCCAAAAAAACTTTAATTTTTAAATTTTTAATGCATAAAATAAGTTAAAAAAGGTGTAATTTTAAAATGTTTTATGCATGAAATTCTAAAAAAAATGGTAGGAAAATTTTGCACAGTGGCATAAATTAAAAAAAACAAATTTTCAAAATTTCAAAATCATTAAAATTATGTTTTAAGTATAAAGATTATTTAAATATCTACATGTTTTTTATAAATCCCTTTATCTTCGTATTTGACTCACAACTCCAAAATACTAAATTTTTTAATGCATAAAAATCTAAAAAAAAAAACGGTAGGAAAATTTCGCAGTGGGAAAATTTAAAAAAATGGTAGGACAAATTCGCACTGTGGCGCAAATTTAAAAAAAGTGTAATAAATTTTCAAAATTTCCAAAATCATCAAAATTATGTTTTTTGAAGATTATTTAAACATACACATGTTTTTTTATAAATCTCGTTATCTTTGTTATTTAACCAACTCCAAAAAACTTAAATTTTTTAATATCCGAAGATAAACAAAAGAAGGTCGATAATTCGACAAATGAAAAAAATATTTGTTTAAAAAAAAAGCGGAAGTCTCAATGAGATTTACAACCCCTGTTACGTTGACCCTTTTAAGTAGAAACACCCTGTATGTATAAGTTTTCCCCTGCGACATAACCTACTTAACCGCCATTTTTCGCTTCACCTTTGCCGCATTTTCAACGTCCCCTCTGAAACGAAAATAAAAGTATTTACCTGAGAAATATATGGCATTAAATTATTAGGAACTCCTGAAGGGTCTTCGCCTATTAATCCGGACTCGTGGGCTCCAACAGGATTGAAATATCTAAGTAGTACCACCTTCCAGTCCTGCAATAACATGCATATTTTATTTTAATAAAACGAGTCAAATAAAAACTATTTTAATCGACAACGTCGCAATTTATTAAAATTATTAATGATTTTTTATGTTAATTTTGACCTTTCTTAAAAAGTTTATTTGTCTAATTTAAAGATGGCATTTTCTCAATTCGAATAAAATTAATTACTTAATTATAGTAAATTAAACAATTTGAGCCTTCAGATTTAATTGTTTTTGCAATTAAGTACTTAGGATTTAATGTTTATTTTAATGATAAGAATTCAAATTTAGCTAAATAACAATTTAAGTTAATGTAGGTACAAAATATTGCTATCACATACATAAATAGAATTATTTAACATGTGACTGTAAAATATTGAAAATTACAATCAGATAATTTTTAAAATTGCATAGGCACACGAATTTCATAAAAATGTCAAGTCAACTTTAATTTAATTTGACACCTTGTCCTATTCTCAGTTTAATTATTTTGAGGTATTGATTGCTTATATTATAATACCGTGTTTATTAATAACAAGCATAATAAATTATTATTAATTATATTACTATTTTTAGTATTTACACATGTATTCTATTAAATCGTTTAGTAGGTCAGCTTCTCTTGCGAAGTAGTTCAAATGAATCTTATTTGAGAAAGCGGGAAGATAATGACGATTTGCGTTGTAGGTATGCCTTTTTATCTGTGTGAATATTAAAAATAGTAATTTAATTAATAATAATTATTGTGTACATTATTAATAAAAAACGGTAAGTACATCTTCATTCTTTTCAAGCAAATGCAGTTTCAAAATGTAGGTAGCAATGGCTGACAAAAAATTGTTATTTTTTTTACTAAAAGCTTCTATATTTTTCGGTCCATTAGGACAAAATAAATATTTAAAAAAATGTTGCTCAATCTTAGATTTGGTTAAATTTAGAAAAACAAGGTCATCTAATATATTATGGTCAAATCAAAGCTGATAAGCCATGTACAAAGCATTTGGTAATAAATTGTTGTTAATAATTTAAATTGGTATAAAAAAAAATTATTTAGGCTCATAAAATAATATTTGTAGGAGCTATATACAGTGTTGCCAATGGTGTTGACATAATTTACACACAGATTCTTTCAAAATTCCACAATTTTGCCAACTATTCCACACATTTGGGATTTTGGTTTTGTTAGGTTTCTTTGGTGATTACCGCAGAAAGAGTTTCTGAGGTGAATCACCACAAAAACTCTTTCTGCGGTAATTACTGGTGATTACTTAAAGGCGTTTTCAAAAACTTACTAGATTACTTACTTTGTCAAAAAGTCTATTGTTATAACCGGTTTTAAGTTACTCGATAACTTACGCTTGCAAGTTTCCAAAAACACCAGATTTTTTTAATTTTTAAATTAAGCCGAAATCACTTTGCTGTATATATAGAAATCTGCACAGAAATTCGTCCATATAACTAAATAACTAAAATGCGCATTTGCAAATATATCTATTTAAATGCTTGTTATAAGCATTGTTAATTTAAAGATAAAGTTTACACGCAAATTCCACACATTTATGTATTACACACAAATTACACACAACAAAATAAATTCCACACAATGCGTGGATTTCCACGTACATTGGCAACACCGACTATCAAAATGATAATGTTACTTAGCAACCAGAATTATAACAATTTATTTTATTTTATTTTCCTAGTTAAATATTATTACATTAATAATAAATAAGTACACATCTTTAGCATTTAAAATCGTCAAAAATTGTGCAACACATATTTATTTATACATCTACTGTAACACTGAATTTACACGCAGTAAAATTAACGATTTTGACGTAATAAACTATTAAATGATGCACAAACTTTCTCTAAACTTTTAATTTAAAATAGTAATGATTGTTCTTGGAAAATAGTTTTCAGGAATTGATTATTGCAACTGCATTTATTTAAATAGGTACATAATTATTATTATCACTATTTTGACTATTTATCAGGTCATAATTTATTGTACAAAGTACTTATTTTAAAGCACACTCAAATAAAATAAATCTGTGTGCAATCTGTGAAGTGTTTTGTAAAATTGTTAACTTAACCTTGATATTTAACTTTAAACATTCATAGAAATACCTAAACCAAAAATTTGGATGATACGCATTTTTTTAGGTTATAAAATTGTAAAGTACTTACAGCATCTGAGGCACAAACATCCTTCAAAATCTCCTCCACAAAATATTTAGTTTTTCCGTACGGATTAGTACACCCCTGGCCTGTAGGGTGTTCTTCAGTTATTGGCAAAAACTGGGGGTTTCCATAAACAGTTGCTGATGAGGAAAACACTAAACTTTTAACCCCATTTTTGGCCATAACCTTAAAAAAATTTTATGAAGAATTTTGTGATTTAATACAGCAACAATAAAATTGTTACCTCGAAAAGTGTACTTGATCCAGCTATATTATTTTGGTAGTAGGTTAGTGGTATTTGCACCGATTCACCTACAGCCTTTAAAGCAGCAAAATGTATTACCGAATCAATTTTGTGCTGAAATTAATTAAGTTAGTTATAATAAAGCAAAACGTGATAATGTAATGTCTATATTTCCATGAAAACCACAAATGCGTTAATTTTCGACTCACAAGTTTAAAAATTTTGTCTAGAGCTTCTCTATCCCTGATATCAACATTGTAGAACGTAACAGTCTCGCCAGTGATTTTCTCAACCCTTTTAAGGGATTCTGGCTTTTCATTTTGGCCGTTAGAGTAGCAGTTAACCAAGTTGTCGATGGCAATGACAGAATAGTTGTTGTTGAGCAGTTCTACCACTGTATGAGACCCTACGTAACCTGCACCCCCGGTCACCAAGATGGTGCTATTTCCCTTCATCTTATCATCAGTGGTCCACCACCTATAAGCGGGAAATTGAGGCCGCAGTTAGGAGTTAGTGCAACTTGCTCACTTACCTTACTTAGTCAAGTACCCGAGCGGTATGACACCGTAATAAACTATCGCGAACGCAAACGGGAACTTATAAAGCGTAGATAGCATTTTTATCAGCTAATTTGGCTAATCACTTGTTGTGTTTGTTGTAATATTTGTTCACAAACAACCACGGTACATTTAGTTACTGCTTAGTCTGCTCACAGAGTGGCTGCATACCTTTGCAGACTGATTTCACTAGAGGGGATAGGTGCAACGATGTTTTTTGCTTTTTTATTGCCGCGGGACCACTTTCAACTACCGATTGAATTTCTACAGATTATCACCGACATTTTTATCAATTTATATTGTTTTTTTTTTTGATAACAGTAATTTATGTATCGTAAATTACGATTTATTTGCCGTTATATTACGCGAAATTCCGCCACCATAGGCGTACTTACGTGCAGTGTTGCCAGGTCTACTGTTCTTGCAGAATATCAAGAAGACTATTTTTTTATCTTTGACTTTGTATTTTTAGTATTAAAAAATGGTACTTCTGCTAAAGAATTTAATTAAATGTCGAATTGACAATAATATTTATTATTGATAATTTACTTGTCAATTATAAATATAAAGATAATTATTCCAAAAATAATAGCAACGAATTCGAATGTAAAAGCCCTTCAAAACTTCATTTTGATGAAATCATGCCAAATGCCACAATGGAAGAAAAAGTACTTTGCTCCACACCTCAAAGTCCCACCACGTGACCACGTACGGAACGCGGTCTTTTGAAAATTTGGCATTTAAGGCTTTTCAGGTTATGTATCTGTCAAAGTATAGTCAACGAAAGAAATAATATTATGTTTAGGCGTTAAAAATGTATAAATCTTTATAACATTACAATAACAATGGATGGTTTAAGAATTTAAGAATATAAATACTGCATTTAATGAAACTCTAAAGTGTATGGTGCCAAATAATATTTTTGTGCATTTGGTCCAAATATCTGATTTTCTCCATAAAATAATTTAAACTAAACAGCATTTATTTAAAAAAATCTAGCTTCTCTATTATGGAATAAGAATATCTGTTTTAAAGGTAGGTTAATATATTATAACAAAAATATCATCTTATTTTGTAATTTTAAGGTTAGAAAAATTTATTTTGACCAAAATAAATAAGTATTTTGGATTATTTAAGACAGTATAATATGGTATTTAAAAATGTGGTAGTTTTTCTTATCCAGCTTAAAGTGTACCTACATAAAGTTTTGTCAATACAAATAGTTAAAAAGCTTCGACTGAATTTGATCTACATCGAAAAAGCGTTATAACTTTAATATTTGAATAAATCACATGTCATGGGAGTATTAAGTATTTTCACATTTCAAGTTTCTCTAAAATTGTTTGTTTTTTTATAATATAACTTAAAGTAAGTATGCCGAGAGGTATGCCCAAGTTTTGTCGTTAGAAGTATAAAAGCTTCAATTTAATTTGAACCATATTCAACAATTATTTAGTATACCTATATTTATTTATGACCATATTAACACTCTTCCAAATATTCCAATTATTTATTTTGGTCAAAATAGATTTTTCTAACCTTAAAATACAAAATTAGATTATATTTTTTGTTCTAATACATTAACCTACCTTTGATACAGATATTCTTATTTCATAATAGAGAATTCTCTTAAGTTAGATTTTTTTAAATAAATCCTGTTTAGTTAAAACTATTTTATGAAGAAATATAGACCCAATGCAAAATATCACTTATATTGCACCTTACACTTTGGAATTTCATTAAATGCAGTATTTATATTCCAAAATTCTTAAACCAACCATTGTTATTGTGATACTATAAAGGTTTATTAACTTTTAACGCTTAAACATAAGCGGTAACACTATAAATATTATTTCTTTCATTGACTATACTTTGACAGATACATAACCTGAAAAGCCTTAAATGCGCCTAAATTTGCAACGTCGCCGCAGTTCAGATAAAAAAAATGAACGTTATATGTATTATTTTCTTAAAACTGCTCCTTTATTTAGTCTTCTTGGTCGAAAGTCGTCTTGCAAACAAATACACTGCTTACGTCATCTGTTATATCGAATCGTTTCTTGGAATAATATTCTAAAAATCTACCAAAATCGACAAAAGCTCATAAATAGCATCCGTGATGAAAAAATTGCATTAAACATTAATCTGACATTCTAGAATTTTTGGATTAATACCTAAAAGTGTTTTTAAATACCTAATAGAAAAAGTTCAACGCCACTGTCTTCATTGTTACATCGAATTTCGATGATGGAAAACAAGAAACAGTTTTCGATCATCGAATTCACCTGCTGCGAAATTGACATATGGAAAATATCGTAATTTGGTTTTTCCTTATTGTTTTCTTTAAAAACTAAGCTCATTTGTGGCAAAAACAAGTAAAAATACATTGTAAGTAATAATACCAAACTTCAGTCACATTTTTTTAATGATGAAATATTTCGCAATATGTAGGTAGTTTGTTGTGATATACTTTTAGATACAAAATGCCTAGAAGAGGTCGAGTTAAGAAAGAAGGACCAGAATCTGGCGAAGACTCCGACGAATACAGAAAAAGAAGAGATAGAAACAATCAAGTAAGTTTACCATTTGAAAACAATCATTTATCTGTCAAATTAATTGTTGTTTTAGGCTGTTAAAAGAAGCAGAGTAAAATCAAAACAAAAAACGCAAGAGACTATGAATAGGGTGAACGAATTAAGAAACGAGAATACCGTTTTAGAGGAAAAAGTAAAAACCCTGACAAAAGAGTTGGGTTTTCTTAAAGAGTTGTTTCTTGCTCATGCTTCGAATAGTGTGGATTCCTCTAAATTTGATGGCATAGATTTACAGAAAATGTTGGCAGATGATAGCAATCCATCTCAGTAGTGTTTTTATTACCCAATTAAGTAGATGTAAGTTATTTTACGTTATTGTTTAAAATTAGGTACAAAGTTTAAAAATTATTATTTGGAAATGTGATAATTGTATTATAAGTTTAAATGATTGTTTTTATAATATATTATAAGTATGGAGGTACTTATTTTTAAATACAGATATTTATTTTAATGAGGGATATTACTTACTGACCTTATTATTTAAAAAAATAAACACCATAAATGTTAAAATGTTTTATTGCATTTTAAAGTTGTTTTTTATGTACTGCAGTATTTGATACAAATGGTCCCTATTTTCAGTCTCTGGTTGACAATTTAATTCTAATACCACAGATTCTTTTTCCTGTTTAACACTCAAAACAAATTTGAAGAAAACTTCACTCATATCACTTTCATTTGAAGATAACCTCAATCTTTTCATTAAGGTACCTTCGAGAGGTTCTCTAGGTCTTTTCTGGGAAGTTTCTTCGTCATTATTATTTTGGTTTTCTTCCATTGAAGAGTCGGAATTGTTTAAACGTTTTTCTTCTCTGCGTTTTCTTCTCTGATTTGACCAAGTGTTGGAAAAAGCACTTACAAAATACCGTAAATTCTGCTTATTTCTTGAAACTTCCTCGCAGAGAAATTTAAGATTTTTGAACATTTTCATCAGTTCGTCTGTGACTTTATTTAGATGGGTTTCATCCATATTTTCTATTGGAATACTATGTGTTACTGGAGGTTTGGATTTATTGGATTTAATTTTCACAGGGTCGACAGCTTTCCTCAAATTTATTTCCTCGTAGGTCCAAGCTAGACCCCATCTTGTGGTGTTACCCTGGCAGAATTCGGTTTCCTTAAAACTGACAACTTCCACTTCTCTTAGTAAATTTTTTTAAGGCTGGAAGGTTGCTTTTATGGCCCACCATTGTAGTGTATATTTTCACTTTGTTCTTTAGCTGTTTGCTTTCGTTTATAAGTTTGGTGATAAAATCTACTTCGCCACCACTGGCAATGACTTCGTTATCACTGGCGACGAAAGCATTTTTCGGATGTGGCCTATTTTTTGTTCTCGCCTTAAAAAAGGGGTGCAATTCTTCTTTGTTCGAGAAAAATGGCGGATTGCACATACAAAAGTCGTATTCACTGTCTTGCACAAGGTTTATAATCAAACCGTCATCTTTTACCTCAAGAACGTCTATTAAGTTGTCTAAACTGTTTCTTTTGACGTTTTCCAAGGCAATTTTCACACTCTCCGAGTCAATTTCTGTAGCACTAAACTTCCAGCCGTTTTTCTTGGCCCCTAGCAAAGGATACACGCAGGAAGCCCCTGTTCCAATATCCACCCCCCTCACAGGGTCCTTAATGCCGAAAACTTCCAGCAAATCCTCTATCCAGAGTATGTAGTTCAATCGAAGTGGTATTGTAGGTATTAGCTTCGTAAGTGGTATAGACACATCCAAACCGAAGTCTTTTTTCAACAAAGTGCACGTTAGAGCCCTCAAAGACTCCACATTCTTGAAATCCAACGAAACTTTCCCGGAAATATCCAGTTGTACGAAATTACGAAATTCCGGAAAATCCACAGCCAATTGCTTGAAATCAGGTGGAGATTTGTAGATGTTTCTCGGGTGCATGAACTTATTCATCGACATTTTCACGTAGATTACCATGCACGTTTTAATGGTTTTTTGCTTCGAAAAAATAACCGCAAAAATTCAAACGTATTTTTGAGGTTATGACTTGGAAGGCAACCCAGAATACATTTAATTTGTGGTTGCCTATATACTACAGTTTCTCTTTTAATTTACTGAATTTTTTGAAGTTAATGAAGACACATTCATAAACACATTTTCCTTCGGGGTTTTCTATGTTTAAGATGAAGAAGAGTTTACGATATCTGAACGTGTAATTCAGTGAAAGTAATTTTGTCAAAATAATTCTTTTAAAAAATAGTTTCGCAATGTATTGTAAATTTGGTTTTGCATGGCATCTTCTCACGATATTATAAACGACGTTCAGTTAATTCTGTTAAGTACGTGTTATAATATAACTATATAATATAATAGTTTTATAATGTAACCGTTTTTAAGATATTTCACAGCTACAAAAAACTTTTTTTTGTGCAGTTGGTATCTTGTGTTGATTTTTCCATCTGTCAGACTTTGCAATTTCTTCTTTTATTAGTTAACTAGGTAGTTACAAGAGAAAATAAATATTTAAATTACAACAGTAAGTAATTAGCAATTTTCTGTGGTTATATGCAGTTTTACCCAGAAGGTGTCGTCAACTGCATTTTTTTTAAATTATAGAAAGTGGCGTTTGTGTAGGCTTTGACAAATAGTCACGGCTTGCTCAGAGTGAAATTTGTTATAAATGTATGTGCATTACCAACAATATTTTGGTACAATGAAAATTCATTTTCTTTTGATTTTGGTTTTTATACTTAATTAATAATCGACAATGACAAAGCTATGTCTTTTAACAATAATTTAAAACATAAATTACTCAATCAGGCATCTAATATCCACATAATAGAAAGAATTTGAATTCTCGATCGATGGTAATAATTTTTGCTGAACCAGCATCCGTATACAAATTAATTTATGTGTGAATTATTTATTTATTGAGAAATTTAAATTACGCATTAATGTCATTTGAAAAATGACAAAACTTGTAAATGCAGTAATTTTTAAAAACATTAAAGATTTAGTTGCATTAGTTGCCTTGGATTTTTAACATACATATATATATATGTATATCCATCACTAATGAATTATTAGTAATGATTCATTTACTTTCCAATATTTAAAAAAAATCAAGAGAACTTTATTATTGCATTAAATTAAATAATTACTCAATGGACAACAGATTTTGCGCTCGTAATTATTTATAATTAAAAGCATTTGAGTATTTGCAAACATTTTCTTGAGTAAAGTACCTATATAATAATTAAGTGTTTTGTGTGATAATTTAGTACATAGGACTTATCCAAAACAGTTTAAGACATCAGGTTATTTTGTAATTTTGCTAGATTGTTCCATAAATAATATTATATAAATTTTATAATAAATAATAAATTTTATTGATTAAGATTGTATAATTTTTCCTCCAAAATAATAATTTGAATTTGGACAAGTAGAAAGTATTAAAAGTTTTAAATAAAAATTTGACACAATTATGAAAGTTGGGAGGTTTTTTTTTGTAGAAAAATATAAATAATTTTGAAAAAAAGAAAGTTCCATTACATCCTGCATTGTTTACTTAACAAAATAAAAATTGCGAAATAAAAAATTAATGGTTTTGGTAACTAATAGCAAGTAGTGGTAATAAATATTCCCAAGGCATTTTTAATTTCGTAAGTACAATAAAATTGTTAAAATATTATGCCTGCACATAGAAGCAATTAATTGTATTAATATTTATTGATTTGTTTAATAAATTTGTGACAAAATATTTACTAGCCTTCACCTGATTTTAAATCAATTGTTTAATTACATATATTATGATTTTGATAAAATAGGGTAACGTAGACAGTTTATAGTTATACAAGAAAAAATCAATATTGTAAAAACAGTCAAATCATTAGATGGCGCTGTATACAATTATAACTATCTCAGTCGGTAAAAATATAGTACTACCTACTTTATTTTGGGTCCAATATAGGACAAAAAAGTTCGCACGTTACTTTGGTCTTTTGTTAAAAGCAGGACTGTGTTTAAATTACAATAAAAAATACTTCTAAAAAGTGTACAGATCAGTGTGTGGTATAAATGTGTTCCTCGTGGTTTAAACATTGTCACAAAAATGCGTTTTAATTTTAATTCTGAAAACAAACAGTAAAATGGCCAGTGACCAATTACTGGTTGGTAAAAAATGTAAATTTCTATTGTTGAACATATGTCCAATATCATACTCTATTTGTATCCCGGACATTTACCAGCCAATTCTTATGTACAATTGTCCCCTGAATCCTAAAAGACCGTCAAAAACTATAAAAGTTAAGCAGTTTTTGAGATAAAGTCAATTCCATATTAAATGTAAAATTGATTATATTTCAAAAACTGTTTAACAAAACATTTATAACCTTTGACATTTTCGGATTCAGCGAATTGACTGCTAAATGTCCTGGATACAAATTGCTGTTGACGAGAATTATTAGTGGCTGCTTTTTCGCTATGACATTTTTGACTAATTCATTTTTAGAGAGTAAGTAATATAGTGATTTCTTCGTCACAGGACATCTTGCAGAATAACAATGATATAAATACAGTGCATGATAGAGAACATAAAAAACTAATGGCAAAAAATTAATAAATTCGGAAAATACTTTTAACATACCGCCCGAAAAAATATTAGATATATATAAATCATCCTGTTCCGGCCTTAACATTATAAATGCTTCACAAACTAGAGATACCACACTTAATGATATTTGCAACAAACTATTTCAGAAGTCAGACCTTCAGAATCCAGAAAAGGGATGAGGAACCCGAGAAAGAAATATATGAATTATATGATATTTACAAAAACGAAATAAAATAAAATACCTAAAACAGAAATTTATCTTTAAAAAATATTTAACAATTTGATGTAAAGTTGTTATATTTATATAAAAATTAAAATATAAAGTTGTGCTACTGACGATGAAATCAAAATGTCATTACAAACGCGAATATAAACTTTTTAAGGATTGGCGTGGAAAACTGTTAAGCTTATTAGTTTCTTAGACTTATTAAACGACTAATTAAGTAATTAGTGCCGTTGACAAACATCCGCGACAATTATTCGAATCTAATTTAAGATGCTAATTGGGGAAACGATGGAATAAATGCTATTTTTGCCTAAAGGATTATTTCTAAAAGGCAATCGAACCAAAATAGCGAGGCAGCCTTTGATTGTTCAAAATAATTAGCACCAAGGATAATAATCACTAAATTAATTAATTTTAATCAATGGCAACATAAACATTTTTACTTTATCACAAGCTAATTAGATCTATGTAGGTACATAATGTGTGGCCCTATTATATATCATAAAAAATCTTTTATATGGAATAAAACCTTCATGCCTATGTAAAAAATTATTTTAAAATAATTTCTAATTAACTTTTTTTAAAGTTTTACGAGGTGTGTTCAGAAAATATCGGGAATTTTCGTTTTTTGAAACAAATATTTATTTATTCGTCTACATTAATGTTGTCGCCTTCAAAATAGTCCCCATTGGATATTATGCACATGTGCCAGCTCTTCTTCCAATACTCGAAACACTTCTAAAACTCGATCTTTGGGAGAGCCTTTAGTTCTTTCAGCGATGCGCTTTTAATGTCATCTATGCTTGCAAAACGATGGCCCTTTAAGGTTCTCTTTATTTTTGGGAATGAGAAAAAGTCAGACAGAGGCATGTCTGGCGAATAGGGAGGCTGGGGAATCATTACAGCATTGTTTTTGGCCAAAAATTTTGTTCAAAATTTAACAATTTTAGAACAAATTTTGCTGCCACGCGTTTCATACACAAAACATTCGAAAAAATTTCATGGGATGAGCCAATCGATATACCAACATCATCAGCGACTTCTCTGATGGTTTATAACCATTTCTTCCACTTTTTCCATGTTTTTATCGGTTGTTAATGTGCTTGTGCGTTCGGGGCGTTCGTCATCTTCAACGTCTTTACGGCCATCTTGGAAACTCTTATACCACTCGTAAACTCTTGTTTTACTTATAGCAGACTCTCTATAGGCCTTTGTTAACATTTCACAGAATTTATTTCATTTTTTAAGCAAAATTGGATACAAATTCTTTGATCTATTTCTTTCGAACGAACGAAAATCGCCGAGCTCATAAAACACGTCTAACCTTAGCGGCTGCCACAGACAAAGTAAACAATGAAAACAGCTAAAGTTTTTATCATACTTCGGGAGCATGTAAACCAACATAATAAAGAAAATTTTATGACAACCGGACCCTCCGAACCCGCGAAATTTAACAATTCCCGGTATTTTCTGAACACACCTCGTAAAACTTTAAAAAAAGTTAATTAGAAATTATTTTAAAATAATTTTTTACATAGACATGTAGGTTTTATTCCATATAAACCGTTTGGTTAACCGTAAAAAATACTTTAAAGTTGACTTAGTAGTAAATTTGTAGTTATTTAAACTTAAAATGCTGCTTGGGACCTCACCTTTAACTTCCTATAAGATAAGCAGGGAATTTTTAAACTTTTACCAGTGCCGTAGATGGAGTATGACATCCTTCACCTAGACATTTAAACAACAATACATCTTAATTGTGAATATTGTTCACTTTCTTTCTTATATAAAAATTGTTTCCGTTAAGAGCATTGAATTGCGTGTAATGTTTTTAGATTCTGTTTGGTCCCACGCGATTTTGTGGTTTGGGATTTTGAAAGATTTTTGAAATGGGCAATAAAATTAATGGGTTTTGTATTGACAGGTGTTATATAATTTTTCTATCTTTAATTGTGAATTCATTTATTCATTAATTATTTTAGGAAAAGGAAGTTGCCAATTTGTTTTTAGTTTTTGCCTCTAAATGTACAATATAGGACTTATTTTAGATTAAGTTAAGTAGTTTACCGTTGGTTTAACTTTGAAATATCTCAAAAAAATCAATTTTGTTTGATTTTTCTTCTGTATACGATTCTGCAATAATTTTTCTATAAAAATATCACTTTTTTGATAATAATTATCTTATTAAATTAAATCCAAGTTTTTTAAGTACATGGTCACTTTTTACCTGCCAGCATTAAATCCTTTTATTTAAAGGATTATTGTACTATTTTTAATAAAAATACCTCATATAAGGTAAAAAAACATTATTTTGTCAATTAATTACTTTAATTAGAATTAGAATTAGAAAATTAAAAATGCATACTAAACATGGTTTTAATTTTAGATTGCCTTTTGATATGCCATTATTACATTGAATTATTTCTTTATATAGAATACATTTTATTAAAGCTATCTTCTAATCTTCTATAGGCAAAAAATAGAATGCTAAATTTCTTAAAGCAAATGTTAAGAAGATGTTCAGTATGGAATAAATAGTACTTAATATGTACTACTTATTTAAAGAAGAAATTTCCAACTCGAAAAAAACTTGAATTGATTTTTAAAATTTACATTTTATAGTCCCTGTAAGTGAATAATATTGATACTTAAATTTAAGTGTTATTTACTTGTGCAGTATTACCTATTCCAACGTTAAATGTTAATTTACCGGATTGGGAATGACATTTTAATTAAAAATTATTTTCGCCTTTGCAAAAATGTCACCAATGAAATAACTTGTTATTTTTTTGGCGTTGTTGTAATTGTTTATGTTAAATTCATTTAGTGAAATGACATTAAACAATTACTCAACATGTAATCCTGAGCAACTTAAATTTTATTTTTATATGTGTTTGTTATATGGATAGAATAGTCAAATTCATCCAAGGCAATAATTAAACATGTTATTCCAGTAAATTAAAGTTTACTTCCTTTAACACCTAACCCTGACTCTTTCCTGAATAAATAGATGCATTATTCAGTGGACTTGCTACAAGATTGATTAATTATCTCCGATCTAGATAATCTTTAAGTAATAAAAACAATTTGTCTTCCATGTTTGAAGTAATTGGTTTTAAATTAAACACCTTAATTTTTACTATATATATATATATATATATTTTGGTTGTTTCACTGTTAGTCTAGAATGGGGGTTTTGGGAAGCCACTAATTATGGACCGATTGTTATTATATTGAAAGAACCTCAGATAAGGGAAGTATGGGGAAACAATTTTAATTTTAAACTGCCTATTGTTTGGGACTTCACAGACAGATAGTTGCTGTGTCATGAAAAATGCACTAATGTAATAAAATACCCTATTATGACATTAATGATTTTTTGTATATTTTTAAAAGGATATAATACAGCAATTTTATTTTTGCAATGCACTCTGTTAATAGCCCGTAATAAGATTTCGCCTTGTAAGAATTTTTACTTAAATGGTACCGATAGATGAATGTGAATTTACTACCAAATACACACATAATGTCTTAAAGACCTTAAAATACATTGTGGTTATTAATAAAACATTTTTTATTAACAATATATTTTTATACAGGGTGTTTTATAAATTTGAAATTTTAAAGCGTTTATATTCCATTTAAGTAGGGTAAATTAGATTATCTTTCCAAAAAGTGTACAGATCAGTGTGTGTTATAAATGTGTTCCTCATGGTTTAAACATAATTTTAATTCTGAAAACAAAAAGTAAAATGGCCAGTGTCCAATTACTGGTTGGTAAAAAATGTAAATTTCCATTATTGACCAGATTAAATTTCATTATTATATTTTAAAAACTGTTCTACTTTTATAACTTTTGACGACATTTTCGGATTCAGGGAATAATATTTTATAGGAATTGACTGCTAAATGTCCTGGATACAAATTGCTGATGACGAGAATTATTAGTGGCTGCTTTTTCGCTATGATGAAATTAATAAATTCGGAAAATACTTTTAACATACCACCAGAAATAATATTAGATATATATAAATCATCCTGTTCCGGCCTAAACATCATAAATGCTTCACAAACTAGAGATACCACATTTAATGATATTTGCAACAAACTATTTCAGAAGTCAGGCCAAGGAATTAGTAGTTACCTTCAGAATCCAGAAAAGGGTCCAATAAATATGGTCCATGTGTTCGATTACTATATAAAATGTCCAATTACTATACTTTTTTGCATGTTTTTATAAAACTATTATTATAAACCTTTATTTGTATAAAATATGCAATTCAAGCTCTGATTGCCTGCTTAAATTCTATTTAGGCAAATTTCCATAATAAATCATATATTAAAAATATAATTAGGTAAATTTTTAAAATAAAACAATACTCTCTAAATAGAAAAACAAAAAATGTGCTCATTATTAAAAAAAAATACATAAAATATCTACATATGTATGTATATGTAGATAAATACATTTTTGAATGATAATTCGCGTTTACTTTAATGCGTGGCTGATTATAAAATTTAAACTTATTTATAAAGGTATAAATATTAAATAATTTAGTAGAGCAAAACACGTCATAAAATTAATGACTGATTTTTTTATGAATAAATAGCACAAAATTTATTATTTTTTTCTTTTGGATTATTTCAAAATATTTTTTCTGCTTTCCATAAAAACCAAAGGAGTAATCAATTTTATAAAAGAATTGCATATAATTCAAAGTATTGTGGTACAACCTTTATATAAATACATAAAATATATTGTTTTGACATTTTTAAATGGGGACATCTTATTTGGCACATTGTTTATTTAATTTATTAGAAATTAGTTACTATTCGTGTGTGGGCTTCATTACATTCAATATTTAATGTTAAAAATAGGTATCAATTTATGTGTTATATCTGAGGTATTTTGTAACTATTTAAACATTTAATTTTAAATTAATCTTTTTTAAGATTTTATGAAATTTATATTACAAGAATTAAAAATAATTATTTTTAACATTTTCCAATATTTCTGGTCTTTATTTATATCAACCGATTTACGCATATCCACTGAACCAATTTGGCAACATAGCAAATTTTAAATGATAGTAAAGATTTGTAGGTTATCTTATATATATACTTGAATATGTGTTTATTTCATTACAAGAGTAATAAATACATTTTTAAAATGTATTATTAAATATATGTTTCCATTACACTAAGTGACCTTTTAGATACACATTGACAAGTTGTGGCTTTGTGGCGCTTTAGTCACGGGCTGAAGTTAGCAACAGGTTTTTAGTCACGAGCTGAAGTTAGTTTTAAGTTAGTTGACAGTTGTCAAATGTCATACAATCGTTAAAATGAATTGCCTTTCTTGTAAAATAATAGTAAATGTGAAAATTATTTCATTATCTCATAAAACATTTTCTGTACTTTCACCGTGAATAAACACATTTCGATTTATAACCTTTATAATCTGTTTATAAAATATAAAAATTTGACATTTGATGGTGACACACAGATTTACCCATTGTTTCATAGATGGCGCTCTATACAAATTTTTGATTTAAATCATTTTAAGATAATAATAAGTATTTGTCGCAATAAAAGTATAGAATGCACCTCGTGTATAACCTTTTCTATACACTCATTAATTTAAGCACTCGCTCGCAAGCTTGCTCGTGCCTAAATTAAATTCGTGTATAAAATGGCGTTTATCAAACTTGATACATAATATAGTATTATGCATGCCTTATACACTTTTTACCCGGTGTATTTTATTTTAAAAATAAAAATATTGTTTCAGAGCATATTTTTAATTATTTGTCAAATAAATGTTACAAATGATAAAAGCTATTTGAACCAAAAATATAAAAAAATAGTTTCATAAACTGTGTCTGTTTTTCTTTCGAGCAAAAAAAAATGTTTTTATCTATAGGATGTAATTATCTAGGTATTATATTAAAATGTTAACATTTATGGAAAGTATGTATGTTTTTAATAATAAAAAAATAATTAATAAAAATTTTCACCCAAGTTTAATGTTAGGGGTAATTATTTTACAAAGAAAGTTTTAAATCAATTGATTTCAAGCATTCAGATTATCAATCAGACAAAAAACAGCAAAGATATTTGATATAAATTATATCAACCGATTTTCATTAAAGATGATTTTATTGGTCAAAAAACAAATCTAGTAAACCAGTACTAATATTAGCGAAATTATTTTCGATAGTTAAAAGCAAAAAACAAATAATCAAATAAGCTAAGCTAAGTAAAAGATGTGTATTTCTATATACATCTACACTATGGTACTAGTGCGTATGAATGCTCTTCTGTTACAAAGAGATGCGCCAAATGAAGAGGTGGTTTTTGGGGGATCTGATCCATCCAATGCTGCTGTAGCTACTACTGCATCCGTATAAAAGGAATTTCAATAGTCAAACACACTTAGTTTTAGTTTATAGTGTTCCTAAATCGAATCTTGGGATTAACTTTTTTACAGGTAAGAGAGCAATTAACAGTGACAGTGATTGTGTGATTCCCGAGTTTATTTTTTTTTTTAAGTATTGTGGTTTGTGCCAATCTATCGAAAAGGATTGTTTTAATGTAATTTTTCATTAAATATTTCATTGTAGATACAAGGGTTTGTAAGTAAGAACTAAATTTATTATTTAATTAAATTAAAAACAATGTAATCTTAAAATCATAATTTGGACAATGTCAAACTTTCACATGCCTCATCTGATAATCCTAAGAAAAGATTTGATACTCAAAAATTTTCCAAAAAAAAAACAATGGGTTACCCAATTTAATAAACCCAGTTTTTTATTACACATATATACATGGTTTTACATGTTAATGTGGGTTAAATGAGCAGTATACAATACGAAAAAAATATTAATTTTACATTTAATAAAAATTACAGAAAATATACTATCGCAACTAACGTAGAAAATAAAAGTAAAACAGTTTTTTCTCAAAATTGGCGCATCCGCCAAATTTGAAAGTATAATTAATTACATTGTAAATTTAAAAATGTTCCAAAAATAATTTATTTGCGATCTTTAAAATTTAATGTATTCATTATGCGTCATTATAGACTATATAGTATTCAGGAATGGCCTCCACATAAATAAAAAATCATATTTTTGTAGGAAATTTCATGCTCAACAAAAAAGGTATTTTATGTTTTTTTCGTAAAACCCCCCATTTAAGTTTTATCGGAGGTTAACTTATTATTAATATTTATAATTGATTTGGCAATAAAATTTTGCTGCTTAATAATTCTTACAGTGAAAGTCTTCCTTGTTTTTAATAATAAAAAAATAAACTTTATATATTCAGCCACATGTGTTTGATAGTTAATATAATATTAAAAAAGTGGGACAAATATTAATTAATTAAATTAAATCAATTTGAAAAGTATGCATTTATTTTACTATATGGTATATGTATTAATCATTTTTGCGTAAATAATTACACTGATCCACAAAATCAAATGTTTTGTTTGCCCGCAACATTGAATTTTAACACTAAAGTTTCACATTCGTAGTCCATTAGAAGTTTTCCGTTACAATATTTTATAAACTTCATTAATATCTGATGTTACAACACTTCGAATTTTGAAAATTGTCCAAACGTTGAAAACAGGATTTTTTGGAACAATGTATTAAAAATAAGAGCTAATAAACCAAAATTATCGATATTTTTAAAATGTGACAAAATTGCTGTCGATCAGTGTTATGTCTAAAGAACCACATTATAACTAATTAATGCAGTAAACTCAGCGTTTTTAGACTACTTTTTTTAACTATATTAAATTAAAAATTAAACCCAATAAATAATTCATACTTTTTTAATGAGTTTAATAATTTATTTCTTTGTTAAAGAGTAGAATTATAAACAATGATCTAAAAAATATTCGAATAAATTATATTTTTAAGTTTCACTTTAAGGTGTATTTCTATTGTTTTTCTGGAGGAAAAAACAACAATAATTGTTTAACGCTTTGAATAATTTAAATGTTTTGTTAAATTAACCTTAAAAACTTACTTTGAAGTAAAACTTTTTTTAAAAGTTTTATTTAAGTTATTTTTACCTATTTTAATAACCCTTAAGTTTCAACACTTTGAGGGACGTAATTTTTACAAAAGAAAATTACTTATAAGTGTATTTCACCTAAAGGAAAATTTATCGGTAATTTTAACGTCAGAATTTTACTTAGTGGTAAATGTTACTCATAAGTCATAAATTTACGATATTAAGACCACTTTATAACCGTAAGTAATTCCTATTCGCCTGGTAATTTTTAGGGTTATTAGTGGTAATAAATACTATTAATATTGACCAAACAAGGAAAAATAAGCTGAAAGTGAAAAATAAAACTTTAAGGGAGTTTTTTAAGATGGCATCCATTACTTATCTAAATATTTATATAATATTTTTTCATGAATATTTTTCTAAAATATAATAAGGAAAGTTTTAGTTGAATGTTGAATTTTTACCCAACCAATAATTTTTCTTAAAACCGTAAAATATTTAGAGGGCATACAATTTTTAAGGTGTATCGTGCATATTTTTATCAATAAAATAATGTGCGTTTGAGTTTTAATGCAAAATATTATTAGTTTTGACAATTTAAGTTATATTTTTTAATTTTACTCTGGGGTGGCCTTTATTACTTTGTAAGAACTATTTTGTAAACTATAAATTAAAAGAACAAATAAATTACGAATGTCAATGTTTTAGAAAGAGAGAAAACAGTTAGTAATTATAGCGTTATTTTTACGTAAATTTGTGTCCTGTCAAGTTTTTTCACTAATCCCTTTAATAAAAAGTTTCTTATTATTAAAATTATCAATAATTATAATCTTAACGCTGAAACTTTGACTTATGCCTAATAAGAGTTCTGGTAGCATTAGTACAACTAAAAATGAAAGTATTTACTATAGCGGTAGCCCACTCAGTTAATTGCTTTATAATTATGTACAGTAAGCATGCAAAAAACACATATTAGGATGTTTTAACAAATTGTTTAAATAATACTAATACACCATTAGTTTATGATGATTGGATGGTTGTGAACTTTAAATGCAGCCTTTGTGGTTTACTAAAAATACTATTACTTTTACTTTTATTGAACTTAACCTATGAATTATGAAAAGAAAGATAACTATAAAGATATCGCGTCTTTTCTAAAATAATTTTTGGGTTGTTAAAACTAATAAATTGTTAAATTAATGCAAAATAAATTTGATAGACCTTCACCTTATCAAAGTTATTTTTATAGCACTAATATCTATTGAAAAAAAATCTTGCTAATTTAAAAATTAAATTTTTGACCTTAAAAAAGTTAAGAAAAAAAACGCGCGTGGTTTTTAACTGCTTTAACATGAAAAAGCTAAAGTTTCATTGTCATTATGCTAAGTTAATTAATAGCGATTTCTCATTGGTTTTAACAAATTAGCCGGTTGTCTATGATGTACTTGAATAAAATATATTAATATTATCTAATTACGATCAGACTTTTAACTAATTACCATGCCTTAAATACTTAACACCATTGCTGTATCTTTACATTAAGCAACAAGAAAATTTAAAAAAAGGAGATTTACCTTAAATGAAGTATTTTTATTAAAAATAGTACCATAATCCTTTAAATTATAGGATTTAATGCTGGCATATAAAAAGTGACCATGGTGCGCAATTGATAATATTGTATAAAACTTAAACCAAAGGAAATATAAATATTTTGAGAAATTTTTGATATCTTTTTTTTAGGTTTAAATTTAAAGAGCAATGCTCGTTATAAAAGAAACACCCTGTATAGTATTTGCCTAGAATAAGTAATAATAAAAAAATAACACCTTTGACTTAAGAAAACACCATGAGTTATTAGTTTCACTTGTAACATAACCAGCTTTCATTCAAATATTAAAATAATAGGCTTTAATTATAAAGTCAATAGTTTCTTAAAATGTTAAGTAAGTAATTGTTCTTATGCAAAAAACATTTATGTAATTTTTTCCTGTGTTAAAATAATAACAAAACCTGGTTTTCTACAAAAAATTATGTTAAAATTTTATAAAATAAAATTAACAAACAAATTTTTATAACAGTGTACAGAAAACCGAATATAAAATACGAGGTGTGTTCAGAAAATAACGGAAATTGTTAAATTTGGCGGGTTCGGAGGGTCCGGTTGTCATAAAATTTTCTTTATTATGTCGGTATACATGCCCCCGAAGTATGATAAAAACTTTAGCTGTTTTCGTTGTTTACTTTGTCTGTGGCAGCCGCTAAGGTTAGACGTGTTTTATGAGCTCGGCGATTTTTCGTTCGTTAAAAGAAATGGATCAAAGAATTTGTATCCAATTTTGCTTAAAAAATTAAATAAATTCTGTGAAATGTTAACAAAGGCCTATTATAGGCCTATAATAGTGAGTCTGCTATAAGTAAAACAAGAGTTTACAAGTGGAATAAGAGTTTCCAAGATGGCCGTGAAGACGTTGAAGATGACGAACGCCCCGAACGCACAAGCACAGAGAAGTCGCTGATGATGAAATTTTTTCGAATGTTTTGGGTATGAAACGCGTGGCAGCAAAATTTGTTCTAAAAACAATACTGTAATGATGCCCCAGCCTCCATATTCGCCAGACATGCCTCTGTCTGACTTTTTCCTATTCCCAAAAATAAAGAGAACCTTAAAGGGCCGTCGTTTTGCAAGCATAGATGACATTAAAAGCGCATCGCTGAAAGAACTAAAGATCGAGTTTTAGAAGTGTTTCGAGTATTGGAAGAGGAGCTGGCACATGTGCATAATATCCAATGGGGACTATTTTGAAGGCGACAACATTAATGTAGACGAATATATAAATATTTGTTTCAAAAAACGAAAATTCCCGATATTTTCTGACACCTCGTATATCCTTTGATTTGATAGTTTATTGAAGTTTTTTTTTTAAATTAGAGGTCGTTCTACATATTTCTAAATTATATTTATGAAGGTTTTTCAAATTCGTGATTGTTAAATAAAGAAAATAGGTTCAAGTGAACATTCATTATCAGAATCATTATTTATAAATTTCATCATATCTCTTATTTATAATAATTGAGGACAGCAAATTGTTAAAGACCATTTGCAAATGTTTGTTTACTTACTTAATTTATTTTAATGTTTTAATTTTGCAAAACATTATAGGTATTAGTCTTACCATTTAAAAACTGTATACCTAGTCACAGTTGTTTTAGATGCATTTTATATTACCATCAACTTTTTTTTAACCTGCTGAATTCTTGCTTGAGTAGCAATTTATTTTATATTATAGGCTATGATGATTGCAAGATTATACAGTTTAACTCTTTTTTTTTAATACAATTAGTTTAATGAATACGCCTATTTGTTAACATGCAACCACTAGGGAGTCAAGAAGAGTAGAATGTAAACAATTATGCCAATTTTGTCCACTTTACCATTTTATAGTCTTCAGCACATGCTTGCTT